GTCTGAACAAGTTCAACCCACTCATACGCAAGGCAGGCATTTCTGCACAAATACATAATCTATTGGCTTAAAGACATCAACCTAATTTTGACATCAGACCGATGACGATAATATTAAAAAATTATTTATAAGCCGATTATGATATAGCCAATGATTTATTGCGCATCCTTCGAAAACATGCCCCAGAAATGTATTTGAGACTGTCAAAATATACGCTCACTGGACACTTTATTAGGTACACCTTACTAGTAGACCCACTTTTGCCTTCAGAATTGCCTTAATCCTTCATGGCATAGATTCAACAAGGTACTGGAAATATTCCTCAGAGATTTTGGTCCATATTGACATGATAGCATCATGCAGATGCTGCAGATTTATCGGCTGCACAATCATTATGCAAATCTCCTGTTCCACCACATCCCAGAGGTGCTCCACTGGATTGAGACCTGGTGACTGTGGAGGCCATTTGAGTACAGTGAACTCATTGTCATGTTCATGAAACCAGTCTGAGATGATTCATGCTTTTACATGGTGGAAGTAACCATCAGAAGATCGGTACAATGTGATCCTAAAGGGATGGACATATACAGCAACAATACTGAGGTAGGCTGTGGTGTTGACACAATGCTTAATTGGTACTCATTTGGGCCTAAAGTGTGCCAAGAAAATATCCTCCACATTATTACACCACCGCCATCAGCCTGAACCATTGACCTCTGGTATCAACAAGGCATTTGCGCCCACAGAACTGCCACTCAATGGATATTTTCTCTTTTTTGGACCATTCTCTGTAAACCCTAGACATAGTTGTGAGTGAAAATCCTAGTAGATCTGCAGTTTCTTAAATACTCAGACCAGCTGTCTGGCACCAACAACCATGACACGTTCAAAGTCACTTAAATCAGCTTTCTTCCACATTCTGATGCTCAGTTTGAACTGCAGCAGATCATCTTGATCATGTCTACAAGCCTAAATGCATTGCTTTGCTGCCATATGATTGGCTGGTTAGACATTTGTGTTAACGAGCAGTTAGACAGATGTACCTAATAAAGTGGCTGGTAAGTGTACATGGGAGCCTTTGGTGAATTTGTGAAAACAAAAACTGCAAGGAGACATAGCCCAAGGTACATATTGCTCTGTTCTAAAAAATGTAGCCCTTGGCTCATATCTCCAATGAGCCTGGGTTGACTTTGTATGTGATTGTCTATCTGATTTGATATTATAATAATAGCTACACTACAGTAAATGGAATAAAATATATTTTTTATTTTCCAGTTTTATATGTGTTTGTACATAATATGTACAGTTGAAGTAATATATACAGTTGAAGTAAGAATTATTAGCCCCCTTCGATTTTTTTCTTTCTTTTTAAAATATTTTCCAAATGATTCACAGTGTGTCTGATAATATTTTTTCTTCTCGAGAAAGTCTTATTTGTTTTATTTCGGCTAGAATAAAAGCAGTTTTGAAATTTTTTAAACCATTTTAGGGACAAAATAATTAGCCCTTTTAAGCTATATTTTTTCTTAATAATCTACAAAACAAACTACTGTTATACAATAACTTGCCTAATTTCCCTAACCTGCCTAGTTAACTCAATTAATCTAGTTAAGCCTTTAATGTCACTTTAAGCTGTATATAAGTGTCTTGAAAAATATCTAGTCAAATATTATTTTCAGTCATCATGGTAAAGATAAAATCAATCAGTTATTAGAAATGAGTTATTAAAATGATTATGTTTAGAAATGTCATGAAAAAAATCTTCTTTCCGTTAAACAGAAATTGGGGAAAAAATAAACAAGCGGTATAATAATTTAGGGGGTCTAATAATTCTGACTTCAACTGTGTGTATATATATTTATAATGAACGCAATGAACCGCCAATTTATCCAGAAGGTTTTACGCAGTGGATGCCTTTACAGCTGCAACCAATCTCTGGGAGAAAAAAAAAAAAAAAAAAAAAAAATATATATATATATATATATATATATATATATATATATATATATATATATATATATATATATCAGGGCACGAAATTAACTTTTTTACTTGGTAGCACCGGTGCTCCCAACTTCAAATATTTAGGAGCACCAAAAAAAATTTTAGGAGCACCAGAAAAAATTTAGGAGCACCACCAAAAATGAATGAGCACCGCTGCAAATTGTATTTTAAGGGATTTATTGTATTTTAAAACAACATTAATAGGACTGACAAAAACCAGAAACAACTATCTAACTAATGCTGCGAAGACATTGATATTTGTGTGCAATAATTCCAAAATGAAAGTCTAATAATTAGGCCATAGAATATTAATAATGATAAAAAATGACAATAATAGTAATGAATTCCATTTCTCATTATGATACTGCCTTGAATGTGCATGAATGTAGGTTATCTGCTATAAAAAGTCTGTTACTTTATAAAAAATAATTGTATAGTTTGCATCAAACAAAAATGAAGCATTGCAGTAAGAAATATTTATTTATTACTGCTGTTTTTATATGCATGTCAATTTAATAAATAATATTTCTGCTACAAAACAAACAAAAGATTATAATAAATCATTCAATTCAATGATGAAAGCTGCAAAGCAGTTTCAGTAAATAAATATAAAATAATACACACCTCAAAAAAGAATAGACAAAAGAAAGTAAGTAAAGTCTCACTTCTATCACTCTTTAAAAGTTTTGGTTTCAGTTTCTGTCAATTTAAAGGTTCAGTCTGAGCTGATCTTCATTTTTCTGTGTTAGTGGAAAGCAGGCGAGTCAGCCGACCCAATTTATGAGCAGGCAGAGCAGGACTCTTGCGCTAACCATTACCGCTGTTCGTTATGAGACGCAGTTTCAGTGTAAACTTAGTAAAGGCGAGCTTCTTTGGCGATGATATGTACAGTATTAAATTTGTCTTTTAGTGGACATTTGCGCTGAACACGCAGTGAATGCAACGCATGGAGATTCGGGCACCTTCTCCAAGAAGCGCGTACTCGATTGATCTCAGCTGGCGGATCATTATACACGTGACGTGTCATGATCGCTTTAATCTGCGCCTCAACTTTAGGTGGGGTTTGCAAACCTGTGTGCTTTAAGTTTTTACTCTTCAGCCGTTTGCATTTCCTGTGGTCATAAAAGCTCCTTCCCTGTCATCTGACAGCGGAATACCTTGAGTGAATGACAGCTAATATGAACCAATGTAGCGGCAGGGAAGAGCGATTCAGCACGTTTTTACAAAAAATCAAAACAGGTCGCACTACAACCATTATCTGCAGTCGCACTAATGCTCCCATATATATTATGAGGTCGCAAAGATTAATTTTCGGGCGCATATACGACCAAAATGGTCGCAATTTCGAGCCCTGTATATATATATATATATATATATATATATATATATATATATATATATTGAGAAAGAGATGGATAAATGGATAGATGGATGGATGCACATGTGTAAATTTGTTAATACATTCTGTAGGGAGCCATCAGCCATGTATCCTTCTTATGATCATTTTACACATTTTGACATGTATTAGTGCTCTTTCACTTGATCACAACACGATAGTCCATTTAATTCAGTGTATCTTTTTACACCAGTCATCCACACTGTCAATTTTATCACTCATATACAACTTGTTTGTTCCAGTTTGATGAATTCTGATGCCAATTTGACACTTTTACATCAAAATCTTGTGCTCTCCAACACCTGCACATCACACTCACATGTGCAAAAAAACTCACGTACATGCACATGCACAAAACAGCATACTAAAACAGCATATTACACATGCTCAGTAGAAAACCAAAAGTATATGACATACAAATATACAGGAACACATTATATAACACCAAAAATTTTGATAATAACCTTGAACAGTAAACTATAAAATATGGCTCCTAAACATGCTTTAGGGCCAAAATTTGTTTATTGCCCTGAATCACCTGTCACATGCTGTGTAAATGAATGGATGGTGGTGTGCGTGTGTGTTTGTGTCACACAGCTCAGTCTGGTTGACCGTGGCTTGTCCTTTCCCATTTCAGCCACTGCTGTTTCAATTGCAGCTTTCCATGAACCTCATGCCCTCTTCCCCGGTCCTTCATTTGCTTTTCTTCCACTCCTCCTTTATCTCTTCAGCTCAGTTTTAAATCTCTGTTGTACCATTATAATGGAGCATTAAATAGTGAAGGTTCACACCTTACATTCCGGGGCTTCACACAGATATGTTAACAGTTCCTTAAATCAGCATTTTTGCCTAATGCTTATTCTTAACATCACGTTTGTCATCATTTTACTCCACAAAGTGCATCTTTCTTCATAAAAGTGCTTGTTAATAGACAGGAAGACACCTCCGATGGAGCAGGGACAGATGGAGGCACAGGAAGATGCTCAAAATAACTCTCTGCATACACAAAACACGTCATAGTTTGGTGTGTGTGTTCATATGATGGAAAGCGAGTGTCAAATAGCCAGGTTGGATTCCACCATGTAGGACAAACAAACATGTTGAACAGAAATTTGAACAGAAATATGACTATCCTATGTCAAATATGCACCTTATGCATCAATCATTTGTCTTGAATTCATTTGTAGTCATGCATGTGGATATTGGCCATGAAAGGTCCATTGACGTGTATTAAATTATTTAGGATAATAAAAAAGGAAGTTGACAGTCCAGCCAAATAAGTAATGCTCACCCTGTTGGCGCAGACAGCTCTGTTTTTCACTGCTGCTGTTGTTAGTGAAAGGAAGTTGTTTCTTGGCCGCGGTCCATCAGTGCAGTAGATTTTGAGAAATGGCCCCTGTACTGCAGATAGGTCTCGGTGAATAAGAAAAAGCTGGGATTTATTCTATTGGAGCGCTTCCAGAAGTCTCTTGTACAGCAAATGTCAAGATATTGTTTAAATGTCTCAGCTCGTTTGATATTGTATTATATGTTATTTAATTATGCAGATATGAGTGACTCAGTTTGTATTATTTTAACAGCTACTGTTCTTTTCCTTTAGATAAATGAACTCAGACACATCCAGATTCCTGTTATGCTGATGCCTGATGACTTCAAAGCCAACTCGAAGATTAAGGTGGACAACCACCTCTTCAACAAGTAAGAGACTGAATTAAGATGGGACTGCTGAGCTCAGAGTCTGTTTACTCCTGGTATGAAGATGGATTTTTGTTTATCGGTTCACAAGCATTTCAATCCATCTCTTTTGTACACTTTCGACCTCATTTCTGATATTGAATGGTCTATGAGTGGATGTTTGAGCTTGTTCTGATTTTTCATTCTAATATTGGAAAAAATAAGTAAAAAAATTTGCATAAGCCACATTTCCACTCTCATGCTAAACCGTTCTCATTCGGGTTCTGGTTGTGTTTCCGCATGAGCCTTGAATGTCGCAGTATGATTACAAGCCGTTCTCAACAAAAGATCTCAACTTTTTTATTGAACAAGCTAAATATCAGAAAAAAAGGAGTTCTCAAAACAGAAATATCTGATCTTTGTCCATATCTCTGTTTACATTATATTTGTTTTACCAAGGCAATGGACCCTTCGCTAAGCCCCGCCCTTCTTAGTTACTGTTGCTACACCTGTCAAGCTTTCATGCCTGGCATTGCTTTTTCAATATGTGTGCGACGGTGTCAGACATTGCCAGGAATATAATGTCATTTTTGGCGAACAGGTGAGATATCCGAAAAAGCCAGACAATAAAGGACTGCAGTATGCATTACAAGGGTATATTCACCACATAATAGGCAACCGATTAGAGAATAAATCAATCAAAATTTAAGCTAGCTTAGCCTAGCCCCCTCATACGCTAACCATTCAACAGTGTAGCTTATGCTCAGCAGGAGAGGTGAAATTAAAAAAGAATCTAATAATAACAAATATATAATATTTGCGTTACTAACCAACGAGGAAACACGCATGACAGTGCTTTTACGTAGTTCATTCATACATAGAACAGCCAGAAAGGGGAAATTGATGGATTTGTGTCGAATATTAGCATCATTGACCCATAACAATGTACAGTAAGTTGCTATTACTGTCAGTATGTTTGTATACTCTTTATAAATTAATGAAAATCTGCGGCTTGTAAAGTGTATTGATTGCAAATGCTCAGTTTGTGATCATATCTCGGTTTTGTTCTGTTGATTTGTAATTTCAAATATTCGTAGCTTGAAACAAATGTAAATATGAAGTTCAGTAAAGTTACACAACTATGGAAAAATAAAACCGAAACAGTTTAAGTCCCCAAGAAATCAAAAGTAACCATATGGTTTTGTTAGCTCACATTGCACATTGTTTTCTGGTGAACAATTCATCTGTGCATGCCATAAAAAAAAAAATGTTTGCCCTTCTAATCTTTAATTAAATTCTGTAAAAGCTCTTGCTGTTTATTATTATTATTATTATTATTATTATTATTATTATTATTATTATTATTATTATTATTATTATTATTATTATTATTATTATTATTATTTGATGTATATTTGATGAAATGGGGGCGAAGCAGTGGCGCAGTAGGTAGTGCTGTCGCCTCACAGCAAGAAGGTCGCTGGTTCGAGCCTCGGCTCAGTTGGCGTTTCTGTGTGGAGTTTGCATGTTCTCCCTGCATTCGCGTGGGTTTCCTCAAGGTGCTCCGGTTTCCCCCACAGTCTAAAGACATGCGGTACAGGTGAATTGGATAGGCTAAATTGTCCCTAGTGTGTGAATGTGTGTGTGGATGTTTCCCAGAGATGAGTTGCGGCTGGAAGGGCGTCCGCTGCGTAAAAACTTGCTGGATGAGTTGGTGGTTCATTCCGCTGTGGCGACCCCGGATTAATAAAGGGACTAAGCCAACAAGAAAATGAATGAATGAATAATGAAATGGGCTTGGCTAACATTTAACCACGCCCCTCCAACTGTCAGTTTTGACAACAAATGGAAATGTTGAGCAGGAGGAGTGGGTTGGGTTGTAATACCTCTCCCCAAACATTTTCTCAATCTTTCTAAATGAAATTACTACTTTACTACATCCATTCAGCTCAATGTAGAAAAATAAGCCACACCCACTGTTTTGTCATTTAATATTCCATTTCTCCAGGAGCTGTGTCACAATATGAAAAAAATAATGGTCGCAGCTTCTGGATCATGGGGACTAAGGAAAGAGAATCAGTTGATAGTGGAAAAACAGCTACTGTATACTGTACAGTAAAAAAATAATAAGCCAAAATATTAAAGGGGTCCTATTATGCTTTTTGACAAAGTCCTTATTTTTTTGAGGGGGGATGTACTGCACATACTCTGATGCTTAGTTAAAAAGAGCTATTTTTTTCACATAATTTACATGACCCTTTTCCTCAGCCTGGCACAAACCACTCAATTATCCCGCCTTCCAAAACATGAAATGTGTTGTGATTAGTTAGCTGTTTGAGTGCATTGTGATTGGCAAACAGAGACCTATGCCTTGCCTAAGCAGCAAGTTGTAACGATGTAATGATTCACTGTGAGCCACACGCACCGGAAAATTGACTTCTCTACTTGCTCCAATGAGAGATAACATTACGAAGATCACACGGTGCAATAGTTTTATTCATATCGAACATATGTAGATGTTTTTCAGACTAAAAGAGAAAGTTGTGCTGTTGCAGAACCAGGAATTAGATTGTTCCTTTCCCCCTCTTTAAAAAAAAAAAAAATTGTTCATGCATCTTTTAGTAATTCGCTTATTTTTCGTACTTACTGATTACTTTTTGTCCTGTTTCTAGTCTAAATATCTAGAAATTCTTAAATCAAGAAGCATTTTCTAGACAAGTAAAAATATTGTGTCTAGTTTTGTGAAATAGTGTGCCCAAATTAAGTGAGTTTTTCCTTAAAATAAGCAAAATAGTCTGCCAAAGGGGTAAGAAAAAAAATCTTTCTTTCAATTTTAAACAAGATAATTTTTCTTACCCCATTGGCATTAAATTTGTCAACATCAATTTGGCATTATTATTTCTTAAATCAAGACGATAAGTTTTGCTTGTCTAGAAAATCCTCTTGATTTAAGAATGTATAGATATTTAGACTAGATACAGGACAAAAGCATTTTCTTGCAGTGTATAGATTATAATCAGTATTTTATGCCAGTGGCCAGTCTGCATTTTAGCATATGCATTACTTACATATACATTTAAACTTATCCAATATAGGCAGTAATCATGGAGTTATGGATTTACAGTGTCTTTATGGATAAAATCATTCATGTTATGCAAGGGATCAGGCATTCCCATCATGTGAACCGACCAGTCAGCCAATGTTTTGGTGAAAATGATTGGTGAAATAATGTTTCTGTATGTTGCTTTGCCTAAAATAAATGAATAACAGCACATAAATGATTTCATACAGGAAACCAAACATTCACATGAAAGCTATATTTATTAAATCTAATTTGCAGTCAAATAACAGTAAATATTGCTGTAGATTTCAGACAACTTTAAAGGGATTGCTCACTCAAAAATAAAAATTCTTTCATCATTTACTCACCATTTTCTAAAATCTTTATGATTTTTTTTCTCATAATAAACAAAAAAAATTATATTTTGGAAATCAGTAACCATTGACTTGTTTTCCTCACTTTTTCCTGTGTTTAAAAAAAAAAAAAAAACATAAATCTTCTTTATGAAGAAAGAAGAAAAAAACTCATAAAGGTTTGAAACAACTAGACAGAGGGTAAATGGTGAGTAAATTTTGATTTTGATTGAGGTATTTTTTCCCACATCACTTAAGTGAAATGCAGAGGCAACATACAATTTGTTATTCTGGTATGTATTTTAGAGTGTATAAAAACAGGAAAAAATTATAGCATAAATGCATGTCAAACGTTGCAAGTTCGTGTTAGAATACGGACTGATCAAGAAAACATTTGCTTTTTTACATTTCTTTGCCTGATAAATTTCGGATTACCGTTGTCAGGGTTTAAACCCACCTGACCACCAATACATCCTGTAATGTTTAAAAGAAACACACTTGACCACACGACCATACCGATCCAATTGATTGCATTTTTAACCACCTCTAGAAAAAGTTGACAAGCTCAAAATGATTTAGGCCAATTTATACCTGTAATCTGTTTATGATCAAATCAACAAAATCTCATCTTAATACCAGGTGTAAACAAGGACTTCGGTGATCATTTGGATGTACAGTCAAACCAACAATTCAAACACCAGATATCATTTTTGGTATTTTTTTACTAGTGGGGAGAACACTAAAGTTCATTTATGTAAATGAGGATAGGAAAATATAGTAAACTGTGATTATTATATGCACAAATTCTTTATACGATGGTATGAAAACTATCAGGAGGTGAAGAAGTTGCTGCAGTGTGTCTGCGAAAATATTACCAAGTTTATTTTTGCATGAAGCCTGTTTACAGCTGAAACTACAGGCTGTCTTTAAGGCCCAGCAAAGTATTGATAGTTGTGTAAATGTTGCCATATTAACAGTTGTCTGAATTATTTTATATTGTTACTTACTCTACCTTTCTGTAAGATTAACAAGATGAGTTAGTTCTGGCAAAGTTGAACTCATCATATTTTATTACTAGTTTTAAAGAATATATAATGTATAAACTGTAAAGTTTAAGGTGCTTTACTTCATATAATCACAGCTTTGCCTTTGTTAATTATTGTCTTTTGTACCTTTTTCTGCCTTTAAAGAGAGAACATGCCAAGCCATTTTAAGTTTAAGGAGTACTGTCCCCTAGTCTTCCGCAATCTGAGGGAGCGGTTCTCCATTGATGATCAGGAATATCAGGTACCTAAGTGTTTGTTTGTTTTTTGCCAGTAAATTTAATGCAATATGCAATATGCCACTTTTGGTGCTCTAGCAATTAGTATAACTGCTTCCTTCTCTCATAAGAGCTTTGGAGCTGTAGCCACTTTGCTGTTTATGAAAATGTTGAGGGGTCACACAGCTCTACTTTGCAGCAGAGATCAACTGAACATATCTTAAACAGTCACAGTTTAAACTGATGTTAGCCAAAAACACAGTTTGAAAGATGGATTAATTTAAAAAAATCTCGATATTATGTTTCATATCATTCGACGTTGATAATTATTGAATATTTTATACAATACATTTAGGAATATCAAGATTGTTTTTCATTCAATCTCTTTATTTCATTTTACTAACATTACTAAGGCAAATAGTTTTAATAGTCAAAAAACTAAATATTTAAAGAAGGTATTTGATCTTTTTATAATAAAAAGTGTTAAAGAGACTTTTAAACCTGATAAATAAATGGTTACAAAGTGTGTGCAATGGTAAAGGTAGATCAACATCTGTTAGGTGATAACAATAATGATTTAGTAAACCTCAAACTCTGTAAACAAAACAAATGATAATCAAATCTGAGCTTTCAAGTAAAGGATCCGACCATCATTATTCAAACACTTATTGCAACATTATAAATTGTGACGTTGAATGACTATTTTACACCCATGCTAAAAACTCTTTCATATGGGGAGCTAGTGGCTGGGATGCACAAGAAAAGAAACCAAAAAGCCACTCTGGCGACATCATTGCATCCTTTTTTTATTTACAATCTCCTCATTGCTGCTAAACAGCACTCATTTTCGCATGTGTTGCTATTCTGACCTGAAGTGACAAGCGTAAGCGCATGCTTTTATACACCATTTTCTATGCGCTTTGCTCTCGCTCTCCTTGCATCTCTTGAAACTAGGCGCATTTTTTAATTTTCTTTTCTTTTTTCTTTTTTTTTTTTGCGTTATTGACAATGGTGTTCGGTCAATAAATATTGGTACTGATTTTATCGGCCAGCCCTATGCACACTCAAATACATATAGTTAAATATGTTTTAAAAATTAAGTGACGTGATACAACAGATTTATTAAATTTGCATTAGTGGACTTAGAACTTCTGAAAAAGTTTAAACAATTTTAGATAATTTAAGTATTCATAGACAAAATGGTGGTTTATTTTTCATAATTTCTTGTTGGTAATTTAAGAAAACTTGATTCCTTATCATTCCCCCTCTCAGCACCCACAAAAAACAAAAAATCACAAATGTACACACTACCTGACAAAAGTCTTGTCGCCTATCCAAGTTTTAGGAACAAAAAAAAAAACTTCTAGTTGATCATTTGGTATCAGAAGTGGCTTATATAACGCAAAGGCCTCTAAACTACGCTTATTTTACCAAAATAAAATATGATCATGTCTTGATTTTTAATGATTTAATTAGGACAGTAAGGTCTTTGCTTAGACAAAAGTCTTGTCACTTAACAGAAATATTATACAGTAAAGAATATAAAGTCATAGTGCAGTGGAAAAAAATTATATTGTGTATGATGACTGCGTCCATACATCTCTGCAATGACTCAAATCACTTATTAATAAAGTCATCTGGAATGATAAAGAAAGCGTTCTTGCAGGACTCTCAGAGTTCATCAAGATTCTTTGGATTCATCTTCAATGCCTCCTCCTTCATCGTACCTCAGACATGCTCAATATTGTTCATATCAGGTGACTGAGCTGGCCAATCCTGGAGCACCTTGACCTTCTTTGCTTTCAGAAACTTTGATTTAGAGGCTGAAGTACAGTATGAGAAGGAGCGCTATCCTGCTGAAGAGTTTGCCCTCTTCTGTGGTTTGTAATGTAATGGGCAGCAGAAATGTCTTGATACCTCAGGCTGTTGAAGTTACCATCTACTCTGCAGATTACTCGCACACCCCCATATTGAATGTAACCCCCAAACCACGATTTTTCCTTCACCAAACTTCACTGATTTAAATGAGAATCTTGGATCCATGCAGGTCCCAATAGGTCTTCTGCAGTATTTGTGATGATATGTGAATAAAAATCTACCTTTTGCCACTTTTCCAAATGATCAACTAGAACTCAAGTTATTATTTGTTGCTCTTACAACTGGGATTGACGACAAGATTTTGTCAGTTAGTGTATAAGCAGCAAGTTTATTAAGAAAAAGATAATAGAAAGAATGACTGAATTGTGAACAGCTTTCTGTCATTGTGTAAATAATGTGTAATCATATAATCCATAAAAAGTAACCGTAGTCTGATTACAAGTAAAGTCTTTAGTATTTACTAGGGTATTTGTTTCCACTGTAATTACAAGCACTTGACTTTGTAATCTGATTATGTAATGCAGATTACACATAATCTGTTACAGCCCGGCTGTGTGTATGTGAGTTGTAATTTTATCAGTTGAGAACTTGTGAAGAGCTTGTAATATGTATTTAGGTGTAACTCAGCTACAGGAACACAAAAATCTGCTGCAAGGACAGGATCCTTCCAGTATCTGTTTTGCGCTGTAATAGGCTACATTGCCTTTATGATGAAAAAAAAAATCTAAACAAAAACATTCTGTCCTTTATATGGTCACATCTTAGCCTGTTTTAGGTTCATTTAGATGTGTTTGAGCTGTAGGCTATTCATATTACATCTCAGTCTATTTGTATGCTATGCACCAGCATTTGAATGATTGTGTTTGTTCACAATTACTCGGATGAACTGCACTTACAGAGCATTTGTATCAGAGTTTCATTTAATCAAACCAATGCTTCCAAGTGCGAGCACACCTATAAATTCGCAATCGCACTTATTCTATCCTGCGGCAGAAACAAGCTTCTATAGAAATGAGCTACAAGATGAGCTTTTCTTTTACTTTATTTACAAGCTGACTTCACTTTTGTTATAATTGTACAGTATAATTGTTTACTGCATAATCCATCAATAATGGTTGAGCTCTGAAGTATTAGTTACTTGTTCTCAATATCATTGAAACAACATTTAATGTCAAAGGGAGATGTTAACGATCTACAACATTTGATTTGCAAAATGTGATGCTAGCTATAAAGCCCTCATAATATGGGGGGTTTCTTGGTTTTACAAATGAACTGCAATAATATCAGGTTTTAGTTTTTACAGCGAACAGCACATCTTTCATGCTCAGATCAAGTTAAAATGCATTACGCTCAAAATAGTGTATTGAATTTGGCACATCTCCCAGAATACCTCAATTCTACACAGGCTACTGTTGACCCAGCATTGTGACTGTAAAATACATTAGCATATTGTTCTGCCTTTGTGAATCATTATAATATTAATAACAATTGATCAATTATTATCTTAGAATAGTTAATATTTCGCACACCTCTGAGCATTTAATTGAGTTAATGATAAAGCTATGACAGATTTGACATATTCATTGTACATTGCGGGTAGGGTTGTGATGCGTTTCTGTACGTGTTAAATGTATGTAGTTATTTGTATTAAACAGCAGATATCATATTGTATATTTACAAACCATTTAGGACAATAAATCATAAGTGATCATCAGGACACCGGGAAATGTCCCTAAAGTGCTTTCCCTATGGCCAGTCCGCCCCTGCCAATAGATATAGCTGAATAATAAAAGTTGAGAACATTACAATTACATGCTGTGAGCCTTGAATTCTATTGTTTCTTCTTTCTCATGTAAATCCTGCAAATGTAAAATGCTGGTAAAAAAAACACTGACTCTGAGGATCCAAATGGGATCATTAATATGCAGGCCTGTTTAATTGTCCAAAACTTGTCCTTACAACAATAATTTTTTTTTTTTTGTTGTTATTTATCTAAGCTTTCATTACACTTCTTATGTATGTGGGGCTTCTATCTTTAACATGACACTGGCAATATAGAGCTCTCAATTAATGCAACAATCTGCACCTAATCATAGCTCATCATCTTTTTTTTGTATTAGAATATATAAAGGTACATAAAATGGGATCATACAAATACAAGGAAACATCAACAAAAAACAATAACAAAAAAAAAACACACAAAATCTAAGATCATAAATTTATTCAGCGCCCCTCAAAGAGACATAGAGTCTGTTATATTTTATTAGTTTAACAGGTACATGATGAAATTTGCTGAAGATGTTTGTAATGAGGCAACAGACATGTAGACTGCTGAAAGGGATTAATGTGCATTTATGAATAATGTTATATCACTCAGCTCTTATTTAAATTTTTTTCTAGTATGAAAGGATGAAAATAAACTTCAAAAAATTAATTTGTTTATGCAGAGCTAAATATTAATTCCTGCCTCTGTTTTCATACATTAATCCAATAATGTACAGCTTTAAATATACACTCACTGGCCACTTTATTAGGTACACCTGTCCAACTGCTTTTTAATGCTAATTTCTAATCAGCCAATCACATGGCAGCAACTCAAAGCATTTAGGTAGGCATGGTCAAGATGATCTGCAATTCAAATTGAGCCTCAGAATGGGGAGGAAAAGTGATTTAAGTGACTTTGAACGTGGCATGGTTATTGGTGCTAGACGGGCTGGTCTGGGTATTTCAGAAATTGCTGTTTTACTGGGATTTTCATGCACAACCATCTTTAGGGTTTACAGAGAATGGTCTGAAAAAGAGAAAATATCCAGTGAGCGGCAGTTCTGTGGGTGCAAATGCCTTGTTGATGTCAGAGGTCAGAGGAAAATGGCCACTTTTGTTCCAACTGATAGAAAGGCAACAGTAACGTAAATAACCACTCGTTACAACCGAGGTATGCAGAAGAGCATCTCTGAATGCACAACACGTCCAACCTTGAGGCGGATAGGCTACAGCAGCAGAACAACAAACCGGGTGCCACTCCTGTCAGCAAAGAACAAGAAATTGAGGCTACAATTCACACTTGCTCACCAAAATTGGATGATAAAAGATTTTAAAAAATGTTGCCTGGTCTGATTAGTCTCGATTTCTGCTGCTACAACCTTCGAAATTTAGCATCAAAAACATGGATCCATTATGTATCAACGGTTCAGGCTGGTGGTGATGGTGTAGTGGTGTGGGGGATATTTTCTTGGCACACTTTGAGCTCATTAGTACCAATTAAGCATTGTGTCAAAACCACAGCCTACCAGAGTATTGTTGCTGACCTGTCCAGCCTTTATAACCTGTGTTCCCATCTTCTGATGGCTACTTTCAGCAGGAGACCACACACCATGTCATAAAGCGTGAATCATCTCAGACTGTTTTTTTGAGCAAGACAATGAGTTCACTGTACTCAAATGGCCTCCACAGTCACCAGTTCTCAATCCAATAGAGAACCTTTGGGATGTAGTGGAATTGGAGATTCGTATCATGTCAATATGGACCGAAATCTCTGAGGAATATTTCCAATACCTTGTTGAAGAGGAGAAATGGTCATACCCAACTGAGCCTGGTTTCTCTCTAGGTTTTTTAATTCTTCACTTTCGCCAATTGGTGAAGTTTTTTCCTCACCGCTGTCGCCACTGGCTTGCATGGTTTGGGATCTGTAGAGCTGCGCATTGGATTTTCTCTTCAGTGTTTGGACTCTCAGTAGTGAATGTTAAACCACACTGAACTGAACTTAACACTGAACTACAGTGTTTTAATTTACTATGATCGTCTATGTGAAGCTGCTTTAACACAATCTACATTGTAAAAGTGCTTTACAAATAAAGGTGAATTGAATTAAATCTATGCCACTAAGGCAGTTCTGAAGGCAAAAGGGGTCCAGCCTGGTACTAATAAGGGGTATCAATAAAGTGAGTGTATCTCTGCCAATAAGTGTATCTCTGTTTGCCTTTTTGTCGAATATTATTAAATTTTACCCAATATTTTATCTATAACACAACTCAGCCACTAGATGGCGTGGCGGCCATTTTGAAATGAAAATTCCAATAGAACAACAGCGTACTATAAGTCTGTAAAAAAAACTCTTAAAAGTGCTGATGATTGTGGTAAGTGTTGTATTGTCATCTTTCAGGTTGTATCTCAGCTTTAATGCACTTTTTAAAAAAAATAAATAAATAAACAAAGCAGCTGCTTGCCATCACGACAGCAATAAGATCCAATGGACGGCCGATCGCTTTCACTCCAAAATGGTGATATCCGGGGCTGTTGCAGGGAGCTGCTGTTTCAATGGAACTGATGCAATTGAGTGTCGCCTCTTGGTGATTCTAATCTCTTTACCATGAGTCATTTGAAAATCAGTTCAAATATCTGATGATTCAAACCAGTAGAAATGTTAAAAGAATCGCGATACATGTTGAGTGAGATTAGTGAGATTAGTATCGTGAATCGTTACATCTCTTTTGTCAGATCATATTAAACCTTGACAATTTGATTGAATCTTACTCAAAGAAAACTGATAAATTTGTGTGAACATTATAAAAATGAAACCCACAGCAACAGTACAACAGCAACACAAAAGTGTGTCTATTCCTGTAAACCACAAAGACTTGGATTTTTGGCAGCTCTAAAGAAGATGGCATCTCAGTTCAGGCGCTGTTGCTGGTAGAAAAAACTGCCGTTTCAAAGCAACCTCGTTGACTCCTGTCTTTTTGAACTGCTAAATGTTCTGGCTCATTTTTTTTTCTGTAGCTGTAGAAAAGCAAGACAGGACGCTTTGCCATCCAAATGAGCAAAATGTGCCAACGTGTTTCAGTTTGTGATGAGGTTCAATAAAGGAAGAGGCCAGACTGTACAGGCTCACAGCAGACTGCAGTCTAGGAGATGTGCCAGTGGCTTTTCACTATTTCACTGGGGCTGTTGAGCACAGGCTTGGCAGTGTAAAATCCTTTACTGTTCTTTCCTCTCGTGGCAGAACTCTCTGACTCGCAGGGCCCCAATTCCCAGTGACGCTCAGGGCCGCAGTGGAGCTCGATTCCACACTTCACACAACAAGAGGTATGTCATCAAGATCATCACCAGCGAGGACGTGGCTGAGATGCACAACATCCTGAAGAAATACCACCAGGTAGACAGAAATCTGCTTTCTTTTTCATAACTCGCAGTAAGGGAACAAAACTATGTACATTTTTTAAGACCGTCAAAATACACATTATTTTCTTCCAAAATTTTGACAATTAATTTTTAATAAGATTTTTTGAGGGTCATCCTGGACCTTAGAATATATAGTGTGTAACTTTAGGTGTCAAATTTCTTTTTGTAATATTACAGTTGAAGTCAAAATTATCACTTCTGTGCTTTTTAATTTTAGACATATTTCCTAAGTGCTGTTTAACGAAGAGAAGATTTTTTCAAAACATTTAAACTGTTTTGATAATTAATTTTTTTTTTGCTTTTGCTAGGTTGACAGTACATAATATTTTTCTAGCCATTTACAAGATACTAGTATCAATTTTAAAATGCAATTTAAAGGCTTAATTCAGTTAATTATGCAAGTTATTGGATAAGAGTTGTTTGTTCTCTTGCTTACTTTGTTAAACATCACTTGGGAAATATTTAAAAAAGAATAAAAAATTTAACAGGAGAGCTAACAATTTTGCCTTCAACTCCTCCATATCTGTGAATGTGTATTAGTGTCAGAATAGTTTGTTTAATTATAATTAGCCTCTTCCCAATGTCTCACCCAATGAATTTTGTTGATAACCATCTAAACCACAGGTGTCAAACTCAGTTTCAAAAGGGCCGCAGCTCTGCACAGTTTAGTTCCAACCCTAATTAAACACACCTGATCAAACTAATTGAGTCCTTCAGGCTTGTTTGAAACCTACAGGTGAGTGTGTTGGAGCAGGGTTGGAATTAAACTGTGCAGGGCTTCGGCCCTCCAGGGATTGAGTTTGACACCCCTGATCTAAACGTATCCTTTTTGTTGCCCGGTTGTGATTTTTCCAAAATGTTAAGGTATTATGAAAATACGGTTGTGGGAAATATAGTAAGGGGCCTGTGGGGATAATTCTGACTTCAACTGTATATTGTGATATGAATATAATTACACAAGATGACTATTTTGAAAATTTTCATATTGATAATATTCATGATTGTAATGATTTTGTTGGGATGCGAATGTGCATAAAATATACAAAAATGCTCAAAATCTTATCCTTTAAAGCACATGAAAACAATAGAACAAAGAGAAAGATAAAACAAACAACACTGGATTTCGGTTAAACAGTACTGAGATATAGAAGTTCGATAATCAAGTGTATAATAACAGTGCCTTCACTGTACAAATATATAAATCCAATTAATTAAATCTAATCTAACTGTTAATGCAGAAAACTTTATAATGTCTTGTCTAAATGTTTCAGTAAAATCCCTTCAGATCTTGCAATATGACTATTGAAGGTTCGCACATTGCGATATCGATGCTGAAGAGATATATTGTGCAGCCCTGTAGGCTTTGTATACTTGGGACTATTTTTGATTAATCGTGAATTATAAATTAAAAGGAATATAACGAAGCTCCATTCAATACAATGAGATTGATACTGATTATTTTCAGACTTATATTTTATTTTTTAATTGATACTATGATATGAATTAAACGTTGTAATCAATATTGACGTCTAATTTGAAAGCCTTTATTGATATGAAGTATATGAAGATAAATAACGTTTTTTTAATATTTTTTTCAATGCATTCTGAGTATTAAAAGCAGCCTACAGTGAGTCTTTCAAGCTGTGAGGTGAATGATTCTATTATATCTGCTCCCTGCAGTATATAGTGGAGTGCCATGGAAACACGCTGCTCCCTCAGTTTCTGGGCATGTACCGCCTCACAGTGGATGGAGATGAGACCTACATGATCGTCACTCGTAATGTTTTCAGCCACCGCCTGCCTGTTTACAAAAAATATGACTTAAAGGTGAGGGATTCGTATAATATTCAGAACAATTCAATATTGTTATGATCATCGTGACTGTTCAAACTATATTTCAATTCTGTTGATGATAAATGATAGCTTTCAGTTATTCACAAAAAAACAACAATATCCATCCTACAGTAGTTCTTTCTTATGTGTTCCTCAGAAAAATAGTAGTGACATCTGATTCATGAGCAAATGATTCCAATAAATCAGATCTATTTAATGAATCAGTGGAAAGTCACATCAACAAGTACCCCAGCAAAGACTTTCTCCACTCAACTACTTTCGTTGGATGGATGTATGACCTGTTGCAGTTTATTCAAATAGAGAAATTTAGATCTGCTATTAATGGCAAAGCAGAAGATTTCTATACAGCTTGGCAACCTTTTCTCTTGTATTTTAAAAAATAGTTTTGTATCTGATTTTGTATCTTTTTTTATTGCTTTTGAATCATAAAAGCTCCAAGAGTTTATTAGGAAAATAAATTGTCTTATATCTGACATTTAATAGTAATGGCTTATTTAGGTGTCATTTGTTAATTTATTATTATTATTTATTTATTTTAATTTACTATTGTTTTGTTTTTGTTCTTTGTTGTTGTTGTTTTCTTTATTTTCCTCTGAATGTGGTTCAGCGAGTAAGGGATGTGTTTAATTACCACCAAATATTTTTTATTGTGAACTCAATGTATTATGTTTTTTTTTTGTTTCCCTCACTTGTAATAACTTTCTGATTTAGAATTGCCTTTAAAAAGAGTTAAACTAAACAGCAAAAAGAAATAAGAATAATAATAAAAATCAATTAGTCCAGAAAATATTATTATAAAGTATTATTTCATTCTACAGCAATAACTTAATACAGTTGTTGACCTACCTATTCAAACTAATATGTAATAAGCTGAAACAACACAATTCTTGAGTTTTTTGGAGACAACTTTATTGTTTAATGTTCAAACCACTTGTCCAAACCACAAAAAAAAAAAAAAACTAATAAGTAAACTTAATTCTTTTATTTTGTTACAACACAAATCGATGGTGTGGAACCTGGCATTTTTAAAGTGTAATTACAAGGAAATGACACATATTAATTGTTGGGTAATTATTGGTTTGATTAATGACTTGTTTGGCCTTTTTTAGGGATCTACAGTGGCAAGAGAAGCTAGTGACAAAGAAAAGGTACAGTTTAAATTTTGTTTTAATCATATGTACAATGTCAAGGTAGAAAAGGGTTTGAAAAGCCATGCTTAAAACATTTTCATCACTGTTAGTGTATTAAATATGTTTAAAGATCAGCATTTGCATGCTTGATGTTTTGCATGTCTGATATATACAAAAACATTATAACATCACTTCCTTTCCATGTGTCTTGTGTATTAATAAAGTCCCAAAACAAATTTCTCCTGTGTGAAAAATCCCATCTTCTATTTCTCCGTTCCTGGAAAAAAAGTTCTTCTTTTCTATTCAGTGTTTGCTTGATTCATTTTGCTTTAGAGTGTGGGAAAGTGCACATTTTGGTCCAGTGGTTTCAGTTTGTTGAACTGAAAATAATTACTGTTTTGTATTGATGTAAGCCTAAGTAACTTTTATTGTGATTCTCTATTGTTTAACTCTGTAATTTAAGTGCACTGATCTCTGAAGGTAAAGAGATGGTAACAGGAGCCATTGTAAATAATACATCAGATGTTGACTACTTGTATTCAGAGACTCTCGTTTGACTGGTGGATTAAAGATTCTATTACGTTGAATTAATCTTTTGACGCACTGTGAAAATGACACTTTTGTTCAAAGGTTTAGGGTTCAGTGTAACTTTTGTTTTTTTAAATACTTTTATTAAGAAGGAATGCACCATATTCGTATAATTTTATGAAAGTTTTCAATTCCAAAGAAATAAAATTTTTACATGAGTATTCTATGAATCAAAGAATCCTGAAAAATATAGGAATATTAAGCAGCATAACATTTATAATAGACATGTTTTTTGAGCAACAAATCATCATATTACAGTTTTCTGAAGAATCATGTGACACTCAAGACATAGACACGTCATAAAAAAGAAAATATTTGACTTAACTAATATTTTATATTGTATTTTATCAAATAAATCAAGTTTAATTATTAAAAACATTTAAATCTTACAAACCCTGAACTTTTGAACTGTGATGTGTATATATAAAGCATTGTGTGCATTAACAAAGGGCTAATAATCTTGTGTACAGTATTTTCTCACATGCAGCAAACATGTTCTTGTGTTCTTCTCATATCTGTGTGCATACAGAGAGCATGTGAATGATTTGCATGTATATACTTTTTTTTCTACATGCATGTTAATCTTGCTGGCATGATGATTTTCTTTGATCTATTTCTCCTTCATTTAAATGTTATACGTGATTACAGTATTCAGCTGTATATGATACTCTTGGGCAAATATGAACTGGTGTATATTTGTAATTATGTGTCATATACAGACCACATGTACTGCCATTCTCTGTATTTCATAAATTGTGATTTCCTAAACATCATTTTTGTGCCTTTACTTGTTTGTTGTACAACAGCCATGTTATCAATCAACTTCAAATCACTCTGTACATTTTGTGTGATTCTTCTGAAGCATGTTTTGTGGGCTATTTCCATCTTTTTTAATTCCTCCATTGTGCTTTCTTAAAGGGTTAGTTCACGCAAAAAATAAAACTTCTGTCATCATTTACTCTGCCTACACTTTCTCCAAACTTGTTTCACTTGCTGTATTCTGTTGAACACAAAGGAAGGAGTTTTGAATGTTTGAAAGTAGTAGCCATTAGCTGTTTCCATCCACCTATATTTGTGGGCTTTTTGCACTATTGCATAAAAATATGCTTAATGGAAATGCCATTGACATTTTGAAAAGGTTCATGAAACTACAATGGATACACTCCATGCTCACGAACTACGATGGCTACACATTTATTGAATAAATTCCAACATGCGAATGCAACATCAAACAAGGTGTTGTAAAGGGGTGGTCCAGAGTGTATTTTTAAGGCTTGGTTGTGTTTATAAGATGCAAAGCGATGTGTGCTCATGCTTCATTTATAGAAAATCATGTTATTTGTTCATATGTCTTACTTTAATCATATACAGCTACTCAGCTAACATGAAAATGCATGTCATATTTCCTAGTTCCTCAGAAAGGCCCACCCTCAAGAAGCTCTGATTGGTCAGCTAACATAATGTGCTTTGATCGGCTCCACATCACCATGAAGAGCATCATGCCTCTACAAGCAGCGCAGTCTTTGCTAAGCTAACTTATGATGTTGTTTATGTTTACATAGCAACATTACACATCAACTAAAGTTTAAAATAGGATATCGTAGTGGACCACCCCTTTAACAGATCATGATAACAAAAATAGGCTCAATGGAATGGCAATACTGGTTAAACCAATAGACAGACCACATTGTACAGCATCTAAAATGTTGTTTTTGGTAATTCTAAAATCCCTTAGCCAAAGTCCATCATCAAAGTGGTTTGTTGTTAAGTGTTTGTGCTTCCAACGATCCTTTCAGGGAGAAGTAATTTATTATGTGTGAAACATGGCTCACGGTAACTTCTATCACAGCAAACCCCTTTTTTCTTTTCGATGTTTAGTGCAGGTTTATCAGGAAGTGATGATTTAGTTTACTTTGACTGCATTTACACTGCAGATCTTGGTGGTCAATTTCGATTTTGTGACTGTATCCAAATTTTTTTTTTTGATGACTTGCCTACATCATCTTTTAAAAGTGACTCTGATCAGATCGTCTGCAAATTCACAGAACACGACAAAGACGCAATGACCAGGAGAAAAAAAGAGCGGTCGCTGACTAACAGCTGATAATTAAAATGTGCTGTTTTCTCTATTCCTCTATGTAATATGTTCGCAGCTTTTGACAAGCTGTTTTACTATAGTTTACAGAAAGGTTCTCATTTGTCCATCTTATTTTGATATAAAGGTTGTTTTTAAACCTTCAGGCATCTTAATGTAATGTCCATGGGGTAAATTAAGCATGTAGTGTATGCACTAGTTTTATATTAGTTTATATTACTTATGTGGTGGACATTGCACTCACTCTTGCTCTAGTTAACATGCTTAAGTACCTTTGCTATATGAGAATATAAAAGCTGTTTAAGTCCTCGTGTGTGAGATTTAAGGTTTGGGACTCTGCTGAAGTCTGTTCTGAAATTAAAGTGTCAGACTTGACGTCATTCGATAAGGTTTTTAATGACGCACGACTCGCATTGACAGGTGAAAATCTGCCGATCTACCTGCTTACACTGCAGACACGGGAACACAGATCCAATTCATATCGGATAAATTTTCACATATGAACAAGGCCTGAATCTGATTTGAGTAAATCGGAATCCATGTGATTTGTTCCTGCTTACACGTACATGGGCCATATCCGATCTGTGCCACATGGGAGAAAAAAATCGGAATTGAGTCACTTGAACAGTGCACTGTAAATGCGGCCTTTAACTCAATGGTTGGAAACTGCTTTATTTGCAAATGTCTAGTGTGATATTGCAGTTTTGCACATACATCTATTTAGAGTCTTTTGATGAAAACATTGATATTGACTTTCTTGATCAATTAGTTTGGCTTCGAGTTGACCGAGCAGTTTGATTATCTTCGTGATTACATCCTCCTGTAGTTTGCATTCAGTCCTCCATTGCTGTTATCCGCTCCTCCATTTCGTCAAGTCTCCAATTAGTTTTGTTGATGTCCGCTTTTAGCTCTTGGAATTGTTTCTTGCTATCTCTCTATTTCTTTGAATATTGTGTTTAGATTAACCTCAATATCTTCCTGGCACTCTCTGTGTTATTAGATTGCTGTTTTTCATGTGGAAGGTTGCTTGTTTGAGTCCCGACTGGGCCAGTTGCCATTTCTGCGTGGAGTTTGAATGTGCATGTTCTCCCCTTGTTCACATGTGCTATACAGTCGGTCAATTGGGTAAACAAAACTGGCCATAGTGTATGAGTGAGTGTGTGAATGTGGGAGTGTGTGGGTTTTTCCCAGTATTGGTTGCGGCTCGAAGGGCATACGCTGAGGAAACCATATGCAAGAATACTTTTCAGTTCATTTCGCTGTGGCAATCCCTAAAAAATAAGGGACTAAGCCGAAGGAAAATGAATGAATAAATAAATGTTTTCCATATTGTGTGCTATTTTCTTTTTGTTTTGTATCTATTTTGTCATAGCCATCGACTTCCTCCTAGAAACTAATAATTGTACCTTAAAAGTAATTACTCTTTGCTTTGCTCTTTTTAATCTTGTTGTCGGGAGCTAAAGTTATCACGCTGCCATCTTGTTCTCGCCAAAACCAGACGTCCAAATATTGACTTTCATATTAATATTTTTTCCTACTATGTATGTTGATGGCTACCAGTTTCCAAAATTCTTTAAAATATCATCTTTTGTGTTCAACAGAAGAACAAAAATCTCTTGAGGGTGAATAAATGGTTTGTATGTTTTCATTTTTGTGTGAACTAGCCCTTAAACATGTAATAAAATGAAGCTACAGAGTTTATCTAGAAAGTTCTGGTCACCTCCACGTGATTTGTGAAGCTGCCTGCATCTGACCTTCCTTCTCCCTGCAGCCACGTCCACCTGAAGAGGCTCCGTCCAAATCACGCATGAGCCAAAAGCTACAAACCATCCGGATCGCCACACGCTTTTACTGCGCCATAAGACACGTAAGGGCTCGACTGCAAAAGAACTGTGCCTATTGCTCTGTGTTCTTCTTCAACATGCATCACCCCACATTTTGCCTCAGGAAAGCAGCGTTCCCTCCGGATGCCTCAAGGGACTGTAAACTCAAGCACAGTTCCTTCTGTTCCAGAGATAAAATCTTGCCTGCTCCTTCAACGGTCTTGGCTGGAATTATGAAAACAACGGAAGACCAGTGTGTCGATGTTTAAGTGTTGTGCTGAGCAATAGTGGTTAATATACAGCTTTGAAAAAATTAAGAGACCATTTGAAAATTCTCCATTTGATTGAAACTTCGGGTTATTGGACCCAATACAGTTTTTTTTTTTTTAACTCTTGATTTTAAAATCTCGGGATTGTGTTGTAAATAATAATAATAGTAATAATAACAACATCAATAATAAAAATAACTTGTTTGAGAACATTTGGTTATTTTATGCAGATATTTGGGCCAAAAAAAAGACAAAGCATTTTAGAAAAAAGCATTTAGTACAGGGTACTCACAGATTATAGAGTTCATGGAATATTATAACATTTTAAAAGGTCCATTCCAGATATTGAAAGCCAAATACATTTTATTTTCTATGGAATATCAGATATTTCTATATGTTGTTTTAAATTTAAATGTCTATTTTCCGGTTCTATTTTATTACTTTCACACTCATCAACTTGAAGCCACTTAAGTCAAATACAGTTACTAGAATGTACTAGTAAACAAAGCCTAACTTGTCAGATTAATGTCAGTTTTAAGAGTATTGGCTCCGAAACTCACTTCAAAAAACTGCTTTTTAAAAAATAGATGCCAGAAAAGCTAAATATAATGTTTGTAAAACTACTATTGAGCTATCAAACGTGGTAAATTATCCAGTGTTGTTCCCATAGCGGCTATTAAAGTCATGTAAAATATAGTCAAGTTTAAACCTTTAAATATATTTTAACATATTATTAAACAAAATTGTATTAGTATTGTATAAACACAAAAGCAGCCTGTTTTCATGTTCATTAGATGTCAGGAAATTAGATTTTTGGGTTAAAATGGGAATCTTGTCGGTATTTTACAGAATAACACAAAAATGACGTTTTACTTAAACGCGTAGCTTTATTTAAATTAAGAGAAGGGTTTCAGATCTTTATAGATCATACAGATCAGATCATATTTATATCAATGCTAACTTAGTGAAATCAATATCTGCTGGAATGACTCTGATTTTCAAAAAAGAAAAAAAAACTTTTTAAAATGTAAAACATATTAACTCAAAAATTAACATTCTGCCATGATTTACTGATCCTCAACTTTTTCCAAACCTGTTTGATTTTCTTTCTTCTTTTTAATGCAAAGGAAAATATGCTCAGTATAGCCACTGACTTCCACAGTATTGTTGTTACTATGAATGACAATGGCTAGTTTTTCCAGCATTCTTCAGAAAATCTTGTATTTTGTGTTCTCCAAAAAAATAACAATTCATATTCACTTGAGTATGAGTAAATGAAAGGAATTATTTTTTATTTTTTTTTATCTTCAACATTGTACTTGGCCATACCTGTTAAATCCACTTAATTATCTAGCAGTCTCCTAATATATTGCATAGCTGTATGTACCTTCCTATGTTCTTCTCTGTGTTTTTTTCATTTGGATGGAAGTCTCATGAAGTCAATGGAAATCTGATTAAGTTATAAGTGTTTAAATATCAGCAATCTAATCTTTTGTCAGGACTTATAAACTAAAGATGAAAATATCCATCTTAACATTTTTATACAATTTTGTGTTTTATGTTATGCTTGGGAAATATTTTACAAGTTTAAAGGGCCTTCATGTCAGAATCTTTATAAATTGAAGTAAATGAAAATTGAAATATTAATTGAATGAAAATTGAAACAAAAAACTGAAAATCATGTTATTAATTACCCACCTTCATGTCATTCCAATCCCCTAACACTTTAATTTATCTTCGGAATACAAAGTGAGATATTTTGGAAACACTTTAGTTTAAGTCACAGTTCAGGGTATTGGCAAACTATTAACTGACACTACTAGCTTAAAAAACAACGAATTAGCTGTTTATTAATTTAAGTTATAAGGATTAGGGATGCAGAATAAGATCATACTTTATAAAAAATAATATGGCTGGTGATTAATCGAAAAGTAAAAGAAATTGACTTTTAGAACCTATAATCGATCTAATATTTCCAGATCAATTTTTTCAATTACTTTCCCTGCTCCGTGTGGAGACACCTAACCCCGCGCCGTCGAACGCATGGGTTTGGTTCAGTGCAGCCTTCACGAGCTCATATACTTGCGCACTTCTTGAAAAACATAACTTCACGTCGCACGAATGCACTACAATGACGATGATAGGAAGCTGCGCCAAAGATGCCTTGAAACAGCATATTTTCTATTATGATGTTCAGTAAACAATCATAGATGTTTCTTTCAATTATTTTGGAATCAAGTAATGCACTCTTAAAATCTTTCACTTGTGTGATGTGAACATATTTTCTGTACAAAACTTGTTAGTGAAACACGAGGCACAAAAGAATTTATAAATAAACAATAAAATAATCGTTCAATGGAAGTAAAATGTTCAATTAATCAAGATCTTGATTTTAGGTCAGTTGATTTTAGTCCAGCCCTATCTACTAATGAACGGTTACTATCTTAATTATAGGCAGGTAATAAGCCACTAGTTATTACTATGAATATTGACCTAAAAACGAAAGTGTTACCAATGTTTTAGATCCAAAAAATCCTTACATCTCTCATTCTCCAGACAGTAAGAGTCGTGATATGTTTGAAGTCCAAAAAAGGTATACCAAAAGCATTGTCAAAATGTGTCTTTAATGGTTCAGCTGTAATCATGTGAAGCTCCAAGAACACTTTTGTACATCAAAGTTTCTTAAAAATCAACAACGTCTATGTCTGCCACATCAGATCAGGTGTGCGTTTAATACAGGCAGTACAACACTTGTGTGTTGCACTTCTGACTCTGTTATGGCAATATGTCGTACTGCCTGTAGTAAACGTGCACCCTGACCTGGTGAAGAGAAAGGAAGACAAGAGCAAACCAAGTTGAATTTCGTTCTTTTGTTTTGTTTTTCCCAACACAAATGTGTTTCGGAAATTAATACGATTACATCTGAACCACTGAAGTCACATGGAATATTTTGACATTAAGTATGTTTGATATTCAGTCAATATATTTGCTTCTTGGACTTTAACATCTCTGGAATATTGCTCTATATGGAAGGTTGGATTTCTCTCTTTTAGGTTTCTCTCAGATTTCATCTACAATATTGTAGGTTGTGTTCAGAGGATGTGTTCAATAAAGGGTCTAGGAGACTGGAATGACATAAGGGTAATTTCACGTTGATTAATTCTATTTAAAGCCCCTTGAACGCATTATAAATCTAATGCATAGAAACCAAAAGTAAAGAAATAAATATGTTTGATCACTTACTTATTCCAAACCTGAATAGCTTTCTTCTGCAAAATGCAAATCAAGATATTTTGATGACTAAGTGGTTTAGATGTTAAAAGTTAGTAGGGAACCATGTTGTTCTGAATCTCTGTCACTTTCATATTATAGGCTATAGCAATAAAACATTCCTCAAAATATCTTCACTTGTGTTCCACTGAAGAAACATGTTTGAAAGGACACAGTCGTAAGTAAATGATGACACATTGTTCATTTTTGGTTGAACTGTGCCTTTACTCATGATCTCAACTGTAGACTTTGGGTTGGCATTGCTGATGTTTGTGCAAGTATAGGCATTTAGGAAATAACTGTAGGTTTAATCATTGTAATTATTTGAATGCTTTAATTGTCTGTTGGCTCTGCTGGTGAAAACTAAATCACACCCTGTTGCTGTGAGGATCCACAGGAGGCCGTCTGCTCTCCACACTCCCCACTGCTTCTATGATGGGCTGTTTTATTTTCATTATCAGGCGTTTGGGTGGATCATACTGCTAACAGAGTGCTCAACTTTTTATTTCACTCGACAAAGGCTGTTTAACGTTTAAGTGATGAAGTTAAGTGTAATATAACAGGGTAGATGAATATAAGAAAATTGTTATTGAAGGGATACATCACCCATTAATGAAGTCATCATTTACTCATCGTTCTCTTATTCAAAACCTATTTAAGTTTCTTTCCTTTGTATTTCAAAGAAAGCTTGTTGATATCAAATGACTTTCATGGTAATTTTCTTCCTACTGTGGAAGTCAATAGGTCCAAGCAACCAGTATGCTTGTCTTTTGTGTTCAATAGAAGAAACTCATTAGGGTTTATGTGTGAGAGTATAATGATGTCATTGTCAGTTTTGGGTGTACTATCCCTTTAAATTCTCCAATAATGTACCAAATAAAGATGTAAATATAAAGGGTATTGCCTCTACAATGTTAGTGCAGCTAAAAAGAATTGATAAAATTATGCTTGCTTGTTCTACGTTGATGATTGAGATGTTTTTCTGTCTCTCTTAGATTGTTCTAACACAGAGATGCCCAAACTAGGGCTCACGGGCCAGAGTTGGCCCATTGTAACCTTTGATTTGGCAAGGGTTGGGGTTAATGCCTTTAAGACACATTGGTGTTTCTAATTTAACATAATGTAAAATTTATTAGTTTTATTTTTAAGCTACAAAAATCTAACTTAAAATAAATGTTTGAATTAAAAGTAAAACAAACTGTTCTTCTATGGATAGACCACAATTCAAAAGTCAAAACAATGCAAAGTCAGATGCAGCTTGACTAGTATCATTCAGCATTAAACTCCATTGTGTTCTAAATGGAATTCTTATGTTGTCATTATAATAGGTTCATTATAAAATTTTATTTATATATGTTATGTATGTATGTATATATATATATATATATATATATATATGCATTAGTTAATATGATTAAAGTAATGTTTTCTATTTATTTTTAAATAAATAAGGAAATTATCTGTGGCAACTTTGTAATACAGCTTGAAATATTTTCCTTCGGCTCACAGCCCTCAATAAGTTTTGGTTTTTGACCCTTCATAAGAAAACGTCTGGGCACCCCTGTTACTAGCATTGTTGTTACTTAATTCGGTGCAGCTACCTGCAAAAACAACACCCTTCATCTTTTATGCTGTTCCATATGTAAAAATATTGGTATTACTGTTTCCATAAAGAATTTAAGTCCTATGAAAAATTAAAATATAATCATATGTAATTTATGATATTGTAAATGAATGTTGTTTTGGTGTATTTGACATATTATTGTTGAAGTTGATATTTTTTGGCTTTTTGTCTTTGTTTTACATTTTTTATTTTAATTTGTTTTAGTATTTTGTCACTTAAATTTGTCAAATGTATTTATTTGCACGTTTGGCATCAACTGTTAGTTTTGATTACTCTGTTAAGATTTTTAAGCTATTTTTTAAGTAATTGTAATTCATTAACTTTAAATTAGTTTGAATTTTTGTGTGTTATATTTGTTTGCCTATGTCAGAAAGGAGGTTAAGTGAAAACTCAGAGTATTTTAACTCTGAAATGAGAGAAACTCATTTCCATTTCAAAATCATTTACTGTGGTAACGTACTCTGTGAAACTAACTTGGTCAGGGGCAGGTTTTATTCTCTAAACTCTGAGTTTCTATCTAGAGTGTCCCCTTTTTTTTTTTTTTTTGAAAGATGAAGCATTAGTATTAGTCGTTCATTGCGTACATTTCAGTCACACAAAGAACAAAGTTACGAGAATAGCTTGTCATTTTTTGGGAAAATTACAATTAGATTTAATATTAGATTCAATTAAAAACATGGTTTTAAGTTTTACCTTTGACATTACTGTAAAAAATAAATAATTAGCTAGATTAAGGGGATTATTACTCATTCTAAAAACAATTTTTTGGTACTGCTTACATTCTAAACGTCATATCAGCCTCTACCACTTGATCAATAAAAAAGGCAGAAACACAAGTGCACTTTTAAATCTTTTAAAAACTCAATTGTAGAAAGTTTATCTTAAACTGACCAACGTGTGTAAAAGTGGGAACCTTAAATTAAACATTTCCACTGAACATTAAAGGTGCAGCATGTAAGTTTGACACCCAGTAGACGAACTAGGTATTGTACTCCTGGATCAAAACAAACGCAATACAGGTTGCCAGAATGAGGACAGGAGAGAGTGACTTAAACCGTGTTCTAAAAAAAGCAATGACACCCGATGGAAGGGATAGTTTCCATATTAAATGGAGTTTATCTCTTAACCAACACCTCAAATTGATATATTAGAAATGGCTTTCTATTTTTCGCAGGTGAATGACAGAAAACAATGACAATTGATCGACTTAGGTACACTTCATGTGCTTTATTCAATGTTAAATGCTAACAATGTGAGTTTGAATGTCATTTTACATGACATTTATCGCCATATACTAAAAGCAACAGCAGATAGTTCACCTCAGATATTGAAAATAAAATAAACCGTTTGAAATTGAACTTTAGAACTAAACACGTATGAGTGATTCAGCATGTACATTTAATAATGTTAAAGAGGGTTAACATTTATTAAATAGATTTTAAATCTTAAAGTTTTGTGAATGAGTGCATATTCTGTGCTTCTGAAAGGCTGGAATTAAATTTCTGTCATGTTTCATCTGGTGCAAACAGCCAAATTGCTTATCACTGCATGGTCTTGTCACAAAGTATGTTGTTAGGACACGGGGTTACAATATAACCTGCTCACCTAATGTTTACTTTCATAATATTTATATAATTTGCTAGTTAATAACCACCTCATGTTGAACTCTGAATCTGCATCTCATATCGGAGTCTGCTACTGTCCACCAGAGGTCACATCTTAGTCACAGACACATATTTTGAGAGGCTTTCTAATGAATTAATCAAATATGTGATTTTCCATCAAAATATAATTGGCTAAACTGGCATTGGGCGGGTTTAAATTACCAAAACAAAGTCAGACAATCTAGCACGAAAAACACATTTTCAAAGCAGAATATCTGACTTCAGCATTGTTTTTCAGATAAACAATGTTCACTTGGAATGTTTCTTAAATATCTGCTATCATATGGTATTTTATGCTTTTGAAATAATAAATTCACACACCACCTTTAAGATAAGGTTATATGCATTCTTGTTTTGCCAAATTTGTTGTAGAAGCTACGCAGAAAGCTATTTTATGTAACTTAATGCAATTACATCTGAAATTACTTCAAAATTAAGGTCAATTATACCCTTTTTCAAGTGAAAATTCTATAAATGTCACACATTACATATTGTTTTAATTAAAAAAATGCTGATTTTTTTTCACTGATGTTGCCATGGTAGTTGCGGTGTGCACACTTAACTCTGAATTAGTCTACTCAGACTTAATCCTAACTCAGATCAGCTATTCTGAAATAAAAAAAAACTCTGAGTTTTTAATCTCTTGGTAAGTCAACTCAGAGTTCAAGTTTAAATTCTGAGTTGGTTGAACCTCCTTACTGAAACAGGCCCTTTGACATTAAACTAGTTTGTATTATTGTTGTGTTACTTTATTTCATTGAAATATTCTAAATTTGTTTAATTGCTTTTGTTTTTACTTCATTTTATTATTTATCATATTTTATTATGCTTTTGTCTTTACTTTTTTTTCACATTTTTGTTCATCAACTTGAAATTGTTACATTTTTATTGTAAGTTCAACATTTGAATTAACATTTAATTTTTTTGTTTAAAGTTTAATTCATTTCAAGTAACAAAAATGTTTTAACTTTAATAACCCTAAAGTGTTAAAAATAAAATGTTCAAATGTTGGTCATGATGTACTTTGACACTTTTCCCAAAATTTTAACAACAGACAAAGGAACTCCCGACTTACAAAGACAACGACTTCATCAACGATGGCCAGAAGATCTGCATAGATGATGAAAACAAGAAAATGTTTCTAGAGAAGCTGAAGAATGACGTTGAGGTTTGTCGGCATTGCCTTTGCTCTTTCCTACTGTCAGCCTGTTCGTTTGTCTTGCTTAATGTAAGCGGGTCATTAAACGCTTATCTAAACACTCATTGGCCCTAATCACCCTCCTGTGTCTTTAAACAGTGTCTCATTAAAAAAAGATTGACTGCTGGTCTTGTGTTTGCAGTTCCTGGCGCAGCTGAAGCTGATGGACTACAGCCTGCTGGTGGGCATTCATGATGTGGAGCGAGGAGAGCAGGAGCAGCCAGAGGAGGAGAGCGAGGACAATGACGCGGGCGAGGAGGAGGGCACTGAGAGCGACGGAGGGGCCACCGGATCCCCGCCGGACAGTCCCAGTAACACACTGGACAGCAATAGGCCTCTGGGGCCAGGAGAGTTTGACCCCATCATCGACGTATATGCCATCAAGAGCCATGAAAGTGAGTGCTTTTATTTTATTGCAAGAGCTGAATGAAACTATGGATTGTTGAAGTGTTTGGAAATAGCCTGGTGTTTGATTCTTGGCCTCGTCTCTGTGATTTAAAAAAAATTTAGGGCTGCTTAATGTATACAATACAAAATATATTGAAGTCAAAATGATTAGCCTTCCTGTACATTTTTTTTCTTTTGCAATTATTTCCTAAATGATGTTTAATAAAGCAAGGAATTTTTCACAGTATTTTCTATAATATTTTTTCTTTTGGGGAAGTCCTATGTGTTTTATTTAGACTATAATTAAAGCAGTTTTTTTATCTTATATTTAGTTGAGAAAAATATTCATTAAAATATTTAAATCATTTTAATATTTTTTAATAATTTAAAAATATTTTTAAAAACCCTCTTAATCAATATTTTTGATTGTCTACAAAAAAACAAACCACTGTTATACAATGACTTGCTTAAATAACTAACTTATGAAGTTAACCTAATTACCCAAACCACTTTAACCTGAATACTAGCTTCTTGAAAAATACCAAGTAAAATATTCTGTACTGTCATCATGGCAAAGATAAAATAAATCAGTTATTAGAAATGAGTTATTAAAACTATTAAGTTTAAAAAAGTGTTAACAAAATCTTCTCATTGTTAAACAGAAATTAGGGAAATAAATATAGATAGAGCTCACAATTGTGGAGGGCTTATAATTCTGAATTCAGCTGTGTCTAAATTAAAGAAATGTTTGGAAACTTGTTTATTTTACAAGTCTCTTAGAGTTAAAATGTTGAGTTTTACTATTTTGTTAATGTTAAAAGACATTCATTGATGTCTGCGTCTGGCAGGGGCACTTTTAGCTTAGCTTAGCATAGATGATTGAATTGGATTAGACCTTCAGTATCTCATTTAAAAATATGTAGTTACATTGTGCTCTAAGACTGACGGAAAAATAAAAATTAGCTGATTTATAAGTTCATATGATGACTAGCGATTATATTGTCATAATAATCAAGTCATAATAATTACGGTATTGGAAAAATCAGACTTTTACCAGATTATTCAAATAGCTCTGATTGGAAAGATTAAATTATTGTAGATTGACTGGGATAATTCTATGCAGTGGATCTGCATAAATTATAATAAAATACAGTGGATCTGCATAAATTATAATAAAATACAAACTTAAACAAGAAAATAAACAGTGCTTAATGGTTTTCTGGGGAGTCTAACAGTATTCATGTACAGAAATCGAACTGTCAAATATAAAATAACATGGTCATCATTGTAAACATCATTTTTTACAAATAATATTTATTAATAATATTCTTATCTTTTAATATTTAATCAAAAACCTAATCCTACGATGTGACTATTGCACACACTTTGTAATGTCGATGCTCAAACGATATATATATATATATATATATATATATATATATATATATATATATATATATATATATATATATATATATATATATATGTATGTTCAGCCATAACTCAGCACCCTAAAATAGCTAAGCAACAGTGCAATTTGTTTTGAAAGGAAATTGACGGATGCATGAAAACCTGTGTTTTTAATCTATTTGTATCTTGTTTAAAACGGTGGTTCATTCTATCTTACAGATGCTCCTAAAAAAGAAATCTACTTCATGGCGGTGATTGACATTCTCACTCCATATGATGCCAAGAAGAAAGCAGCTCACGCAGCCAAAACTGTCAAACACGGGGTAAGAGTTACAAGCACAATTCCAGTTTGTCAAACACAATTTTCCAACAAGACAGTTTGTCTGCTGGTTTGAAGCCAGAGCCGAGAGTTTCAACAAAACTCTAAAGCAACACCCAAAGCATCAGCTCTGAACCAGGAAAAGTATTTTGCAAGTTCTTCATGATAGTCCCCTTCACACGTTTTAATGGAAAATTATTTAAACTTTACAGCATTTATACAACGATTTGTTGTTTTTCCTCTTTTCACAATGTTTAATATGCATATAGACCTTACAAATATACTTTGCACAATACAAATAAACCATATTTTTAGCAAATAAACACCCTTTATGTGTTTATGCCCTTATAAAGATTTTCATGGTAATGTTTACTTTCACCGTCTCGTTTAGGGAAACTCCTGAGACAATTAAGTTACATCTCTGAACTTTAATAATAAATAATATTAAATGCTACGCTTCTGGGACTTCTCGAGTGAGTTTTGCGCTCAAGTCTTCATCGATGCATTGTCGATATCAAGAACACATCCGGGAACTTTTACGCATTCTCTGTTCTTGCGGTCTTGAGTTTTGAGACTGAACTTTGGCAGTTGATGATGACGTTACACGAGAACACGGGGACACAAGAACACTGAAGAACGCATATTGAGAAATAGCCAGGGTTACTGAAACCAACAAGATGAACAAACGTTTGACAGCCATTTTTGAAAAACTACCTTAATGCCAAACACGTTATTCTCGCTTATAATCTTTGTCTACTCTTACAAAAAATTAGTGGTGTGTTCATGGCTGTAGCCAGGGTTTGAAAATTAGTGACATCTGGGAGTTGTTAAAAAATCTGCAATATTCATTTTCTTTTCGGGTTAGTCCCTTTTTTAATCCAGGGACGCCACAGTGAAATGAACCGCCAACTTATCCAGCAAGTTTTCACGCAGCAGACATCCCTTCCAGCCACAACCCATCTCTGGAAAATATTCACACACACTCGTTCACACTCATACACTACGGACAATTTAGCCTACCCAATTCACCTGTAAGACTTCACAGTCTTTAAACTGAGAGGGAAACCGGAGCACTCGGAGGAAACCCGCGTGAATGCAGGGAGACGATGCAAAATCCACACAGAAATGCCAACTGACCCAGATGAAGCTCCAACCAGCGGCCTTCTTGCTGTGAGGCGACAGCACTACCTACTGCGCCACTGCGTCGCCTTTCTGCAATTTAATAGCTAGACATATAATATATGAATAGTTTGGAGCAATCTGTTAATATTTTGCGTTTGTCTTACAAAAAGTGGCCTCTTTAGCAATAAACTAACCTTGCATTTCTTTTTGATTGCCATGTGTCTAAATGTTGGTGATGCAGTGTTGCCAGATATTGCTACCAAAATCAAGTTAAACATTTTCAGAAAAATGTATCAAATAGATTCAAATACTGTATTTTGGAAATAGGATATGGAATGGCTTTATTAGGACAATAATATAACTAATATTATATTACTATATTACTAATATTAGTCTCAGGGGAGTTCCTAGACCAAGGGTGTCCAAACTCTGTCCTAGAGGGCCAGTGTACTGCTGAGTTTAGCTGCCAGGAAGTTTCTAGCATATTTAGTAAGAGCTTGATTATCTGTTTCAGGTGTGTTTGATTAGGGTTGAGGGTAAAACACTCCAGGACAGCGGCCCTTTAGGGGGGGACCGAGTTTGAACACCCCTGTTCTAGACCCGTTTTAGGTGGGCTATAGCAAATATAGCCCTCCCAAAACAAAGTTTGTTTAAAAGAAATTTCACTTTAAACATTATTTTTTTTAAATTAAATGAAATAATGAAAGTATGTCTATAAGGAAAAAAAACTTTTTTTTTGGTCTTATGCAATTACTTTGTTACGCCGATAGGTGGTGACAACTAACCATCAAAAATGCATCACTAAATAATTCTTCAAAATTGATTAAGATATGAAGTATTTATTAGTGAGTTAATAATCATATTCAAAGATTAAAAATATTATATAATATGTTTTAGAGTTTGCAGAAAACAAAGTCAGGACTTCTACTTAATTGTTATTTTAAGTTATCCAATTTTACAGTGTATATATGCATATGCAGAATGAACAGAATGTAAAATAAAATACAATTAGTGTTATCGGTAACAGTAGCAAGGACTGAGCCTTCCTAAGGATAAAATCCTAGAACTGTCCCTAATAAATGTTAAAAACAATTCGCTGGCATGATCCTTGTAATGATCTGGCAACATGAAGGACTATAGACTGCTTTTAACTGCTAACAGGGATATCAGTTTATTCAGCAACATAGTTTTAAATAATTTAGTTCATTCATAGAACTTACAATACATACATACAACATACAAAATAGAGAACTCCTGACCTCTGTGATCTCATAGCTGGTCTTGGTGCCTTCACACTAGCATTGCTGGCAAAAGATTGACTCGTGTTTAGTTACATCATAGCTGCACCCTCTGAGAAGCATATCAGTTCTTAGACTCTCCAGTCAAAACAACTCCAAACCGGCAGCACTAGCACCTGGTTTAAAGGGGTAAATGCTGGTACTAAACCAGTCCTCAATTCTGACACCATTTTACTTTGTTTTTCTCTCCAGGCAGGGGCAGAGATCTCAACGGTCAACCCTGAGCAATACTCAAAGCGCTTTTATGATTTCATCACCACCATTCTGTCCTAACTGAGGCTGGAAGGAGACGGAGAAACAGGTGGTCACACATATGAGCTCATATCCTGGGAAAGGGTAACAGATCCAGTGTCTCTCTCTCTCTCCCCCTCTGTCACTGGATCACGTCTCAGATCCGTCGAGATCTTTTTTTTGTTTACATTTTCTTTTTTCTCCTCCGTTCGATTCGTTCGGTAGGTTTCTGGCTCCGTGTGGTTGAAAAGGCATACATGTGATATAGTCATGCATATATAGCGTTCTGTACCTTCGTTGTTAGATATCGTTGATTGAGAATATGAGTGATGTTGTTCGTGACCAGCTACGTGGTATGATTCTCATACTGGAATTCTCAAAGCTGCTTAAATATTTATTATTATTCTTATGTTTTCTGCAGAGTTGTTATTGATAAAAATGTCCACTTTTGAATAATACGTTTAAAAATATATCTATATATGTTTTTGGATTTATGAAGTAAATTTAGCCCTGAACAAATATGAACACAGTCAGAGTAACATAAATTGGAGTGTTTATTGCACTATCGCTCTTTAGCTTCAGGCAGTACCTCAAATCAGATCCGTCTGTTTACAAAGCATATACTGGAGGTCAGATGTTTGGAAGAATTATTTTTATTTATTCAATACTTTCAAGGTTTCATCTAAAGTACTGAAAAAGTTATATTGCGAACTATTTTTGGTGTCAATACATTTTAAAAATGTCATTTATTCATGTAAAGCAAAGATCGCTTCAGACCTTAGTGTCATATGATTGTTCAGAAATCATTCTTAAATTCTTATTTGCTGCTTAATTAACTATTATATTTGTACCTAATATTAATATTTAAAATAGCTGATTAATTGTTAATTGTGTCACTGCTCAGTTTTGATTTTTGAGTTGTTTGATTTAAGTATGGAAAAATAATTTTACACAGGGTGACCGCAAGGTCTTAAAAAGTTTTAGAGTGTCTTAAGCCCTGATCAGATACCAAGATTTTGTCATGATTTCCTTGACGTAGGGTATCGAGGGGAGTCGTAAACGACAAATAGTTTCTTCTTGTATATTGTGGCATAGACAACCGATACCTTGTCTGCAATGCCTCACGAAACCATCGCAAATAGTCTTGCATGTTTAATATATTCCCAATAATCATGATGAGTTCTGTCACATGGGTGACACTGGGCAATAGGAGCACGTCATTTTTCAGTAATATCTGCTGGTGCTGCCTTTAATGCACAGGTCAGGTAATCGAAAAATAGGGTGCATTTTTACTTGTGGGTCTTGGGTGGATAAGATCAGTCATTGGTTATGCAAACTTAAAAAACTTTAATATTTTAGAAAAAGTAGTTAAAGCAATTTTTATTTGACAGACTGGAACAAATATGCAGACATCTCCCTTCTTATAACGAGTTTCTGAGTTCTCTCAGCCTTCCAACAGAGTTGGTTCTTCCGAGGTAATCTGGAAACAAGTTCTGCGAATACATTGTAAAAGCCTGTGTTGCTTATTAAAATTATTAGATTAAAGTAATTAAATTGAAACTCACTGGCGATGGATGATTTTGACATTAAAAATGAAAAGTTAATATAAGTTTTTCTGAAACTGTGAATATTTCACTGTCATTTTATTTTGGCTAGATTATTGTTTTATTTAACAATCCAGTTTGTGCTTTGGCGCTGAAGCAGGACTGGTTTAGAAGCACATCTCTTCAGATGTTATTTGTTATTCCTGTTTATCTACATTTGGATTTAAAAGTAAATATCTAATTATTAAAAAGGAATTATATGTTTGATTCTATCAATGTTATAAGGAATGCCCTTAAATAATGTAATATTATTATTAATGGTAATAGTAATAAAAGCCATAATGACTGGAGTAATAATTTTATTTAAAACTACATACAGCAAGTAACAGATACATATTTAATAACTTGGTATTTAACAATGGAAATTTTTTTTTACATTTAATAAATGACGCTTTGATGAACAGAATAATGAATCATTTTCTTTTTAAAAAAACATTTTAAAAAACTGACCCTCAAACTTTTTACCAGTAGTGTTTTCTTGTTTTGACATGTTAAAATATGCAGCTAAGAAAAAACTATTTGATTTTTATGGCAAGCAAAAAAAACATTGGCCCAACTGGTCTATTATTAAAAATCCTTAATGTTTATACATGTATAAGTCTTAAACTTGATTTAGAATGGTCTTAAAAGGGTATTAAAAAGTCTTGAGTAAACCTGCAGAAACCCTGTTTACAGTGCAGTGCTGTTTATAAAATAAACCCCTTAAAAATATACATTTTAAAACTATATTAGAATTAGAGTTGGTATAAGTAATCGAAATCAACATTCAGAATCCATAATCATTCTAATTGTTCTAGGACGATTTTTTCAATTACTTTCCCTAACACGCAAGGGCATAGAATTGGCATGGACGGAGGGGATGTGTCCCCACCTATATCAACCAATTACGCAAATGTCCCTACCAATAATTTAAACGACCTCAAAATAAAGTAATGCTCTTTCAACTATTATATTCGCTATGAGTTCACCGTAATACTAACCAAGGCTGTGCAATTAATAAAAATTCAGTTTTGAGTTTGGCCTCCATGCTTGTGAAAAACAATAATCCGGATTAAACAGTTAAACTGCGTCACACACCTCTCTAAATTACTCTACATTCATACCTTCGCAAAGCCCGACTGCAGTAAAATCATGTTAATTGACATTTGCAGCTTGGGACAGGATGTTATTTGTAATATTACATGTTTATTTTATATTATAATGTATTTTATTCATGTTTTTAAAAGTACAAAACATTATTTGTGCTGGTCAATGCATGCGCTGTTAAAGGCTGAGACTGATTTACAGTACTGCGGCCACATCTGATCTCTGGTAAAGTAGGATGATGGACTCATTCTTGAGCCTTACTTTGCTCTACATTGATGAGGATTGGAAGCTGCGCCAGAGATGCCTTGAGACGGCATAATTTCCATTACATTAAAATGATTATTTACATGAAAGTATTTGTTTGCAGAAGTTAAAATATTATTTACAGTATATACAAGAGTTATTTTATTTAGAAGAGATACTGCTACTTTTCTACTTTCAATATAAAACACATTGAAAATAGTTCATTTCCGTCAATTATTTTAGAATCAAGTAATGCACTGTTTATTCAGAAATCTCTCACTTGTAATATGTGAGCATATTTACTCTACAAAACATGTCAGTGAACTCTGAAATGTAATAAATGAAAAAATTAATCATTCATTAATCGTAATCAAGTTAAAATTTTCAATTCATTGAAATTTTAGGTCAAATCCTAGCTCTAAGAATCATTTCTGAAGGATTATATGAGACACTGAAAACTTTGGGATTAAAACTAATATTTCAGCTTTGAATCACAGAAATAAATGACATTTTAAACACATTTAAATATTGTAATATTCACAATATGACTACATTTTGAGCCTTGATAAGTATAACAGATTGTTAAAACAAATACTTCTAAATTTTCCTAATGTGTGACCACCAGTTTATAACAGTAACAGTAAAAAGTGATGCAACTTCAAACGGGTTTAACTTTTGAATTCATTGCTTCAAAAAAATTAGATGATCTGTAGATGATCTGCCTGCAGTGCATTGTAAAGTCTTGCACAGGAGCTCAATATTTGCAGTTGACTCCAAAAATAATAATAATAATGTGTAGTACGAAGCAACTGTTTTTGCACACGATATAATGCACCAAAATGTTTATGCAAATGATTCCAGTTTTACCAGTGACCCTAATGGAGGGCCATGCAATAGTAGTGATTGGTAGAATGTGTAAAGCACCTATTGGGTTACATGTGCATTGCCACTTTTGTATCCCTAGTGAAAGAACAACAGTTTGCCTGTTTTTTTTGTTTTTGTTTTGTTAATTAGCACTTAATTAGAGAAGAAGTAATGAAAACGTAGTGTATTTTGTATCTCCCTTTTTTTACAGTAATTAGCAAGTTTACAGTGGGTTATTTTCTTGAACGCAGTCATGCCGGCGCTTTATTGAAGCTTGAATCTGCGTCTGCACTGTAAAGAGCGAGAGAAAGACGCCTGACTCCAGGTCTTACTCTTCATACCGCTCTCTCCTCATCAACTTTCTGTGACCCCAGAGACCTTTAGTATTACACCACTATATAGATATTGTGAAATGTCTTTGTTCGCAAAAGTAACCCTAGTTATTCTACTGTATGTGTTGACATATATACACTGTGCGAGGGTGTGCCTTTTTTACTCTGAATTATTTAATTTTGTATTTGAATCATTTTTTTAAAAAGAGACGTTTGAAAAATGTCATTTTCTAAAAAAGGGAAAAGGCGAACGGGACAAATCCCAAGGTGGTTTTGCTGTTCCTGTGTACAGTAGATGTGTAAATATGTGTTTCAAATGTTCCGGTTGAATGTCGCGGTCCTGATGGTACAAAACTCCTGAAATAATATTAAAAGTGTGGTTCACCCAGAAGTGAAGATTTTATGGTAATTCGCTCACCCTTGGGACATCCTTTTTTCTTCAGTAACTTTAAAGAGCACCTATGATGAAAATCATCTTTTGTAAGCTGTTTGACAGAACTGTTAGTATAGTGTGTCCACAGTCATATTGGGGTGATGTAAAGACAACAAGTCTCTTTTTTTAAATTTCCTGACATTAAAATAGGATCCAAATCCCTCCAATTTTGAGGACAACGTGATGTTGGAGTGCGATTTCCTCGGCCACAGAATTGATTGACAGCTGCGTATTTACATGTCTTCATAGTAACACCTATAATCATATCAACAAGACAGGACGTGCGCAAAAATCTGTTCAACTCTCTGTCATCATCAATCATCATCAAATGTGATCAACAATGAGTTTTACAAGTTTATAATGTTTTTAAAACAGTGCATGTTTGTAATAAATTACAGAGATTTTACGGTCTTCATCACATCAAAAAAAGATGATTCAATCCCGGTTTGTGGACGTTAAATCAGGTTTATTCTGTACATTAACACAACCGATATCCACAGCAGTGGATATTATATGTATCCTGTCACATATGCTGTTCAAATATATTGCAAAGTTAAATATATGCACTGTGTGTGTTTGCTGTTTGTGTGTGTGTATGTGTGAACTTGAATTAACTCCACAACAAATCCATCAAATAATCATTGGGAAAGTTCTTACTGTAGTATTTCTCACAAACCTTATGTAGGATCTGCTTCCTTCATGTCTGTCTGTTATCTGACACAGCCGAGGCGGAGATTAAGGCACACTCTGGCAGGCACGTGGGTACGGTGTGTGGGGAGAACTAGTATTAAAGGCACAGGCCACAAAAACAGCTACAGTGTGTTCAGAGCAGAAAAGTTCAATATTCTGAAAGCTATAATAAATAATCTGATAGGTGTTTTGAGATTACCTTTACAAACACATTCTGGAGACACAATTACTCACCTTAAATCTTGAAAAAAGGGGTAAAATAGGTGCCTTTTAGAGAATATTTGTATTTTAAATGGTGGTCTTTGGTGAGACATAAAATGCAAGTCGATAGTTTTGAGAGAAAAAAAAACATAATGGAAAAAACTAATTAATAGATGTGGTTTTATGGAGTGAAATTATCGAAACCAAACATTTTTACCTCAACAACATATGCAAACAAGAAAAAGATTTGTTTGTGTTGCCAGATCTTGAAAAAATAGCGAATGAGAACAAGTTTGTTAAAACCCAAATATATTCAAATACTTTATAATAAAAGCATACCAAAACATTCTACATCTGACCACTGTAATTAATATATATATGAACAAACCTGAACAGCTTGCCCATATATATTTATAATGAGTGAACATGGCAAACCACAAGACATCTTTTGACCATGGTTTAGTTCAAATTGCATGACCTAACATAGTGGTTGGTGCTGTATTACTACACTGTAAAAACACCCCTGCATTCAAATTAAACTAATGTGTCTATCAAACTTATATTATGTTAAATTGACATAAAACAGCTTGTGTAACGTATAAACTTAAGTTGGAATATGATTAACTTTGTTTAATAAGTTACAATGAACTAAAAACACATGCTGTCTAGTTGATCATATCATTTTTTCCAGTGTACTGTTCTTGCAAGGACCGATCATGTTGCTTCATAAGACCTGTTTTTCTTTTGTTTTGCCTGTATGGTCTTGAAAAATGCTGGGTTCTACACAATTACTTCATGTGTTCCCAACAAAAATCCATTAAAATGTTAACGTTTTTACAAATTTGAGTGGATTGAAGATAAAACAGTTAAGCTGTCTTAAAAACCACACAAAATAATTGTGTTTCAACTCATTTTAAATAAGTAGTTTGAACAAGAAGCTAAAGTCATTTTTGAGTGAAGGACTCCAGTCGGTTTCAGCAAAAAACTAAAATAAAATGCAGAATAATTAAATAAATAAAATGCTCTTTAATATTATACTGAAGAAAAAGTCTTTAATAGCTTGAGGGTGAGGACATTTGCAGTAAGTTTTTAGTTTTGTGTGAACTATCCCTTTAAATTACAGATTAGATTCCTACAATGATGTTATATTTAAAGTTATATTTTGTTAAAACTCTAAATGTGTTGCTGTATTTTAATTCCTGTCCTATCAGTTAACTAATTTGAAAATAACCAATGCCAGTTCTGGTTAATATATGGGACACTTTTGAGTGGAAGTCTAAACAAAGAGGCTTTGCGAACACAAACTCCTGCTGGAGAGTGTCTGTACAGCACATTTCAATCCCAAAGAAGCCATTTATGTTGGCTTTTTGGGGGAAAAAAAGACTTCACCATGTCTGAAATTGTATAAAGTTATCTGATGTGTTGTAAGATGAAAAAAAAACATTCTTCCATGTCGATGGTACAGTGTGAGTTTGATACTTTAATGTTCGAGAAAGAGAAACAAAGTGAAGAAAACGTGAGCCCTTTTAAAAACTTTGTCAGGATTATGGGTTGTCAGCCTACTTGTCATAAATGTTTTGTGCGTCATGAACATGTGCAGCTCTTGTGTGTATGTGCTGTAGGCCTAAACTATTTAAAAGCACTCTGTCCCATAAGCATTGCTCAATAAAGCTTGATTAATGTTTGTATAATATTTGTGTATTATGTCAAAACCTCCCAGCACAAGACAAACCATTAAAAATATACTAAGTGCTTCCCCTGAAAGGTTTTACATTTTGCTGTGTTCTTCCTTAAATCCATGAATAGACAAAGGATTTAATATAGTTCTCATAACATTATTGATATTTAGATTCAATGAGTTTTTCTTGAAATGTAAAATATAGTAAAGCCTTTACACTTTACTTATAGGCTATTTAGCATGCTTTCTATGCATATACAATCGACTTGTTCATTTGATTTTTTATCATATATACCGGATATATTTTAAGTTTTGGCCTACTTGAATTTAAACTTAAAATTCCAAAGGTTTAAACAGAAGATATGTACAAATTATATATATATATATTATTTATACCTAATATTTTAAAAGTTTAAGTGATTATAAGAAATGTGTATTTCATTGTTCTTGATGCATTAGATGCTTATAACCACACGAGGGCGCATCGCGCTCCCGTACAATGTCATATTGATCGATTAAGATAAAGATTTAAAAATCTAGAAGCGCTTTGCATAAGTAATACTTTGAACATTGCCATATTTAATTATGCTTTTTATGTGCACAATATGCACATATTTACACATGTAGGCTATTTACACATGAGGGTAGGAGGTTCAATTGAAGAGTATGCTAATGTATGGTTTTCAAACAATCAGTCAACTTAATACAGAACAGCTCGGTCTAAAAAAATATGACGTTTGAATTTAACGAATTTGTGTTTACATTTAGTAAAATATTTTTTTTAAAACGTCTTCTCAATATTTTTTACACATTATCCGGTTATTGTTTTTAATTTAGAAAGCAAATCTCAAAAGGTTTAACTTAGCGCAAGTATACCTGCTGAATCAGAGATCTGCGTTTAAAAAATCCCACATTGGACATGTAGAGCGATTAAATGGCAATGAAAAAATGGACCCACTAATTCGGCGATTTATGTCAAATTATGAATTCAAGACATTTTATTAAAGCTACATTTGTTGTAGACAGCGAAACGTTTTCTATTTCATATAAACTTAATACAGCATTTAACACCAATGTGTTTTAACAAATATACAATTTAATATATATTTTGAAAATTAATGTATTAAAAATCATTCGTGTTTGGAGGCTGTAGCCTCTTTAACACAATGGGGATAGTATTCAAGCATGCGCTTAATATTTAGCCTAATATATTACAGTTTATTAATGCAGTTTCAACATATTCAGAGGTTGTCACTGTCAATTAGGCCTGGTGGTTTTGGTTCAAATGACTGAGCTAAGATAATTAGGCCTAAGTATTTTAATTATAAAAATTAAATAGTAATGGCATAGCTTTCTATTGACTGCTGTGCGGTGTAACCGAATGTCAATTATCATACCAGTTTTGGTAGGTTGACATTCAGTTCTCCAGGTCAGCGAGAGCGATCTGACACGAAAAAAATATGACCAGTTTTTAATGTCGCAGCTGATAGACATGCATTTCATACAACCGTCAATACAAACAGCAAAGACCCGTATTGTCATTATAATTTTTGCCGACTATTCATTTGTAGTTTTATTTTGCCTGTTTTTTTTCTTTTACGGACTCATTTTGGCCAATGACACCCATCTAATTATGCGTTGTTTGAACACTTTTTATGAAATTAAATGTATTAATAATTACAGCGGGGTCAATACTTTCTATATTAGGCCCATTTATATATCCCATTAATATCAGTCTCGTAGTTTTGACTAGGATTGCTGAGAACTGAATTATATCGCACCTATTACCCTTAATATTTTATTTTACTCACATAAAGGCTATTCGCGCCGCTAAAATATTCCGAAAATATAGGCACCAGCTTCCTTTGGCCTGAAAACTGGATTCAGATTATTCAAGGCCGAGTTTTTTTTGTTTTTTTTTTTTTTGGTCGCAGAACAGGCCTACTTTCTTTGAACACGAAGTCAGAATGGTTGTGTTTTATAGACACACGATGTATTTAGTAATAAAAAAGTAAAATGTTTATTTAGACAAAGGTTTCATATTGTACAACAGTAAATTATACATTGGTTTTAACCGTTTGGACAGAAATGTAGAACAAGACAGAAAACTGAACTTAAGGCTATTTATAAGGCTATTTAGCCTACTTTAAATCCCCGCGCCATAACACCGAGAAAATGAAAACATTTCTCAACTTATGTGAGGAGCACGTACATAGCAGATTTTTTTTCCATTATTATTACAGTTTGAGTTTATCCGAAACAATACTGACGCTGCATTGTTGCCCTTTTGCAAATGTAGTTTTGGTTTTACACTTTTCGCCTGGAAAGAAAATCTGAATATAAACAAAACATTGGTTGTGCCGCTAATTCAACGGAGAAGTCATGGAAAAAAATAAATGATTTATATACACTGGCACTCTAATCTAAATGAACAAGACAGAGTTTATAAAAACATCTAGATACATTCTCCTTCTTTTCGAGTTCTCATCCTGTACTCTTCACAATATTAGTTATTCAATACAAAATATAACACAAACAATGCTGTGTTACCAGTCCTCACACGTGGTGACAAAACAAATATATTTAAAAATGATACAAAAAGAGGTGGTTTATAAAGAAAGCATATACATCACAGCTCTGTTTTCATGGCATCGATGGCTTTGGCATCCATGAGCAAATCACCCAAGAGAGTTAGAGCCATTATGAGAAGTTTTGCAGACTTTGCTGCTGAAAGGTGTTTGGCCATTGTGGCCCACTTTGGCAGAGACTCCATTAATGGTGGAGATGTGAGGGAAGCTGGGGTGTGTAGACTGGACAGGGGTGTTTGGGCTGGGCATAGAGGATGATGTAGACGGGGCAGCAACAATACTCGGGCTGTTTGGTTTGTCACTGCTGGAATCACTTTCCGTATCAGGCCTTCTGCCACCACTCATATCATTCCTGGGACTGCTCAACTTGATTTTTTTGCAGCCCGGTCGAACTCTGTACTTCAAAGGCAATGGCCCATTCTGAAAAATATCAACATGATTTTATCTCCACTCCAAAAGCAGTCAGAATGAAAAGCAACAAATGTTCAATGTGTTGTACTCCTACCCTTCTCCATGTGTAAATATAAGCAATATCCATAAGAGTGTAATAATCTTTCAAAGGCTCATCTTCATACATAACTTCAATCTGAAACAAAAAGAGATTCTTTATACTGGTGAAGGGTTTGATAACATTTACACTTGATTCAGAAACACGATAACAGTAAAGTAAATCAGTTTAGAAGTGAGATAAGATTACCTGAAAGGTACATGGTATATCCATTTTACTTCTAAGAAATTTTCTGAGATGCATTACTGTCATAGCTGCAGGGCATTGTAAGTAACGCTTTACAGTCACCTATAGAAAAAATTAAATCAGAGTTCTCAAAACTCACTCAATTACACTATACTATACTATACTATAATATATATATATATATATATATATATATATATATATATATATATATATATATATATATATATATAAAATAATTTTAATATATATATATAAAATTTCTTTAGGAAAATAATAACCTCTTTTGTGGATTCTTTTTCTTCCCCATCTTTACCATCAAGCCTAATAATTATGAGAAACAAATCATCAATGCTAATTTGCAATTAGTAGTGATTTTAACTTTCACAAAAGTGATATGAAATTAGACCCCATATCATCTTAACCTACTTTTTCTGATCAAAAAACTCAATGGACAGACTGATGATCTCATCATCAGCAATGATTCTCTTGTCTTCATCTGACACCTCTCCTCTGTCCTCATTGGAACCATTAGTAGCTAAAGGACAGAGACATATTGACAAACGTTGATTGAAGAATAACACTGCTTATGAATAAAAATTTCAATATGGCTTTTAAAAATGTTACCATCAACGGGATGTTCAGCATAAAAATCCCTTCTCCTTTTCATCTCATCTGAGTAACAAATGCAGAACAACTCAATATTGATGTTTCAAAGCTAAATAATGTTCAAATAAGTTTAATAACAGGCCCTTATATTGCTTTGACAATTTAACAAACCTGACAAAAGTAAATAATCATTAATATAAATATTATGCTTCTGGTCCACATTGATATTTGGAAGTCCAGGCTACAGCAGATGCTGTATCGGTTAAAAACAAAAAAAATACAATACTTACTTTTAAACAAACCAGGCACCAGCTTGTAAACAATGTCCTGAAGGGTCTTATCTGACCTAAAAAAAAAAAATAAACATATTTTTGAGGTGTTACTTTGTGTTTCTAAAAAAACATGCCTGCATAAATTAACGGAGAGACAAGGCATTATTACAATTGAACTCCATGAACTCATGAGGCTCAAAATGACCAACTTTTACCTGATGTTGAGGAGGGGTTTTGTTTTATGAACTTGGACATCACAAATAGGACAATATTTGCTGGTCTCCAAATACCGGACAATGCACATTTTGCAGACTGCAAATAAACGACAACAGACAATTCCGCGGTTAATTTAAAACTGGGTTTAAAAGTCTGTTCCGTTCAAGCAGCCAAAAAAGCAACACATGAACTTTAAGTAATACAATAAAATTGAGATTTTCGACCTACACGAATGCAAACATTCAACAATAGTGGTCGCATCAATGAAGTATCCTCCACATAAAACACACATCAAATGAGGATTTAGCTCCGTTATCTTGATTCTCGTTGTCCGGTGCATTGTCATGGGAGTACGCCGACCTGACAAGCAAACAAGACACGTGTTAATATTTCCAATGTATAACCCATAGAAAGAAAGAAAAAAAGTGATATTACGATTTCCCGAACATGAACAAAAAGGAGACACAATCCGACAAAACACAGTTATAACATGAAACCCGACAATATAACGCAGATTTTCTACTAAATTCGCTGTCCACACAAACAAACTGAACATGTTCATTTTTCCAGGGACGCGCACAGGTGAGCGGGAAAGCCAAAATGCCTACACGTATAGTTGCTATGACGACGGGCTGTAATTGGCATTGTGCCAGTCAAACGGAGACGCATACCTCGATAGACTCCCAGCCCGCCCAGATCATCACAAAAATAACCACGAATTCAGCCCATTAACTGTAAAACGCGCACACTTCCTCTCGACCACGGTGTTTCTCGTGAAAAGGCATGCCGCTGCGAGAACGTGGCTGCCATTTTGCTAGACAGCCCAGTGTAGCGAGTTCGCTCTCATGAGGCTGCGACCTGAGCACCACACACACCATTGTTGAAGAAGAACTGGTCGTTATCACCTGTTAAACACGTCGTAAAGCCGTCATTTCAGTACACAACGCATTCAGACGTCAAGAGAATCAACTGTGCTCTTCCCTTCCCAGCCTTTCGGAGCTCTTCGATGAGGAACACAGTCAACGGAAGCTCGAGAGCTCGCATCTGTGCTCCCGCTATCTCTCGACTGCAATATTGGTATGTGGGGGTAGTTCAGTGTGAGAAATTTTCATGCAAATGCCAATATTCTGAATTGATACAATTCTGTTTTAATTATGTTCGTCCCTTCTCAGTTTAGACAACACTATATACACGCATGTATTCTCTAGATTTGACAGACCTCTGAATATTGACTAATACAATACGCTTGATATAAACAATAGCTTCTTAAAATAAAAGGACTAGTTTTCTAATAGCGAGTTTGACAGTATTCAAGAGTTCAGAACGACGCCTTGCGTTTTGGTCAATGAAAAAAGTTCATAATGTATTTGTTTTCACTTTTAGTTCTACATTAAGCAACAGCTCACGCATATTAGTTAGGCTATAATTTACACATGTTCGCAGATCAATGCAATGATGGGGAAAAAAGTGACTAGGCTGAAAAAGTTTGGCCTGCAAAGTTATTTCACAAGTTTGATCAACAATAAAAAAGGCAGAACAAATGTGGTGTAGAAGTAAAAAAAAATTCAAACTAAGGTCAATAATTATTCTCAGACAGCACATACACTACAGAAAACAGAACTCGTGGATTTTCAGTGAAGAAAGAAGAACGGGGTAAAGGTCAAGAAATGATTGCATTTACTGTAAATCTAGTAAAGCGTACAGTCATATCTTGCCCTGGACAGCAATTATGTGTCATCGGCCCTTTTCTTTGTCAGAAAGGTTGCACTCGGGAATTTTATGTTCATTAAATATTTGTGGTGCAGAAATAAAATGCATGGAAAGATACAGAGGCCTGTATGAGAATAACTAAAGTTAAGAAGGCATCAGAGAACAGACAAGGAGAAACCAAAAGTATCCATTTAAAGCATTTGAATATCGCCACATAAATGAATTAGCAAAAAGACTATAGATTAAATTCAAGTTAACAATCCATATCAGACTACATTTGAATTATGGAGTTAGACCATAAACAATTTTTTTTATGAACTTATTACACATCGGCGGTGAGTCACACATTTAACTGACTAATTAAAATTAAATCAGTAGCCTATTTTATCAATCAGGTTAACGAAAAAAAATTTTTATATTAAATCTTAAGATGGACTCTTACCCTGCTTTGAAAGAAAAGGATGTTCAGTTCAGCCTGAGTCATGTCAAAGGTTGCATAGAATCGAGGCAATGTATTGTGTATTTTTTAGAGGCTAATACAAAACATACAACCCAACTTATCATAGTGTGGCTAATAAACAACTGTGAAATCGCTTATAAATATATTTACTCGGAAGTTAACCACCTCAAAACATAATAAGATTACGTGTGTTTTGCCTATAGGAGGAGGTGCCTTGCGAATGCGCATATGAATTTAAGTTAATAAAATTAACAGACGTTATTAAAACGAGGTAAAGTATTTTTTTCCTAAATATACACCCTGTAGACTACTCAATTCTATAAAATAAGAGGGATAATGTTTGGTTTTCGAGCGTGAATAAATGGATGAAAGTGCTTAGCCGTTAACACCTGACTCTACTCGCCTGTTCTTCAGCGCGCGCCGACTTTTTAGGTTATAAAAAACACATGAAAAGAACAGTGCACTTCAGTTTTACGAAGATGGCACACTCATTGATATCTATATTGTGTTAACAGATGTCCCTCTTTGCGTTTCAAAGCAAAATTTGCCAAAACTGAAATGAAATTCGCACGTACGTGAAACACTCACACATACAAGAATCAACATTGTTACTCTCTTGTCTCCAAACCAGGAAAGGGAAACAAAAGGATAAAATGTAACGACGACGTTCTTTTGCACATTCAAGCGTACATACCTTGTATATTTACCGATGGTTTCGGAGCTTTGTTGTGGTAGACAATGAAACTTGAGAGTCGATCAGCAAAAAATGAATGCTACAGAAGCGGCCATCTTGGAATGAGCTGCAGACGCTGTCAATGGCTCTTAACGTACCACAGCCGTGCTCATTGTGGCCTTCTTGCGCAATTGCACATAGGATAGCGAAGCTCACTCTTTACAGATACTTTCCGTTTTGATTGACAGATAAGTCCAAAGATTTCGGTCATAGAGAGTAGGCTAAACTGCAGAGGCGTGGGTTTCCTGCACGGCGATCTGAAAGCACAGCGTCTGATGGTTCAGTGCGAACTGACACAGTCCCCAAAATGGCTTAGTTCGACCGCCCCACTCCATCACGTGATCTCATTCCTTACGGGTAGCCTGGGAATTAGTAGTGGGGTCTATCATCAATAGGGTACCCCTCTGACGGATGTCTTTGTCAAACCTCACCACCCACATCTGAGAAGGAAACCCCTTTTGCCAAGCCACGTAGTATAGTCGGGATGATTCTAGGAGAGTGTAAGCGATGAAGTAACTTTTAGAGAATCTGCATTTGTCTTTTTGTCACGTAAATCTCATCTAGTTTTAAATTTTCCAAACGCAAAACAAGAAGAATGTTTTAATATGTCAAACTTACTATGGCATTTTAAAAATGGCTGGATAAAGGTTAGACGAAAAGAATTAAAAAATCATTCAATATTTTGTTGTCCAATTTATTCAATTGCAGCGTTTTTAAACATTCGCTATCAAGCGAAATCGACGACTTAATGGGCAATTCTTGGTGCTTTGTGCAGCTGGTGGTGTAAACGCATAGACTATATTTTACTTCAATGAGACATTATTAACCTAATGTATAACAACATTTAAACTAAATGATCTAGATGAATGTGAGATTTTTACATTTAGTTAAACCCGAAGTGTACCTTGAAAGCAAATTGATTCTGTTTTCTGATAAAGTAGGCTGCTACTTGGCTACTTATGCGCGGCTTATAACCATGTCATTTACTTTTACATAGGCTACTTATTGTGAAATGCTTGCCACTGGCTATATAGATTAAAAATCGGTGTTTACATTTACGTCTGGGTGTATTTTATGAGTTTTTAGTGGTAATTCAGTAGAAAAAAGCAATATGTCTGATATGCTTTTGCTGTAATATATGACAATTAAGGCATATGGCCTAATAAACATATTAAAATAATCTAACGTGCAAATTAAACTACAAGAAGACGGCTCCCGTGACTTAAAAAGCTAAAGCAAATGCGTTTCTAAGCAACGGCATATTTTAGTAAATTACCATTATGCGCGCTATTACTGCCAATCCTGGTTTATAGGTTGGTTTAGTTTTACAGCATTTATCATAAATAATATAACAAACATTTTTTTTCTTCACTTTTGTGTTTACAAATTCCACAGACCCATTCGCAAACGTTTGCATTTAAACTGATGCCCGCTCACTTTGCGTCACTGTTCCAATGAGACATAATTTTCCACTACTAAGATAATCTGTGAAATTGTGAGCGCGCGTTAGTGCGTGCACTCGCTTGTGTGATTGGGCTGGTAGGTGTTTTTCTCCAGCGCTGGACGGTAGTCTTCTCGTTTAGGGCAGTGCGTTCAGCTGCAAACCACACGCGCAGTCTGCTGCCATGACGTCAGCTGCTCTAATACAGGCACTTCAGCGAAAACAAAGAAGCTCAGGATGCAGGCGGAAACCCGAGGCACTTTAGCGTTAACCGTATGGGTTTGCAAAACGATATAAACTCAATCATATAGCACGCACCGGAACAGTTTCATATAGCCTACAATCTACAGCTAGTTTAGTAAAAACAGCAATCCGTTTATGCCACGAATTGATCGCATTGGCAATGCTAATCTACGTCTAATTTCATCAACTACGCGAAAATGTTCTCTTTAAGTCACCACAATGATTATTTTTTATTTCGACAACAGATGTGACTCATCAAAATGGCTGTAGTTCAGTCGCGGGTGTTAATACAGCGCGAAATCTTGAAGAGCAACTCAAGGCTTTCATTTCAAATACTTCTAACAAGTCTAGGGCAGAGGAATCACAGCAAGCTCTCCTTTTTTTTAAACTGAAGAACAAATTCGCTGCTAGGTTTCGTATTAGGCTACATATTATGTGCGCAATAAAGCTTCTGTCAAGATGTTCAACCGCATCTTCTTTACACATTAACACAATCATATTTTAAAGCACGAACTCTTTCATTTAGCCAGTTATGCGTTGTTTGATCTCGGCTGGCTATGACAATTTATAAACGATTTTTAAATAACCTTCACAAATGACGAATAAAAATGTAGATCTTCCAAAAACGGCCATGTCCAGAGAGTGTGTTTTGTATGGCTTAAACTTTATTGACTCTATTGATTATCGACTGTTTACTGATCTCACAAAATTGATTTGTTAAACCTCAATAAGAGCTGGAGGCCAAGACTTCTCGATAGAACCGCTTTAAGTCTTTATGCATTTTGATCATTTGCATTAAATTTGACAATTTCAACAATAGCCGACACGATTAACAATAAGTATGCGTATTATATCATTTTCATAGTTTACAGCTAATCGTTTGAAAATGTGTTGACAAAAGATCTGACATGATTATATTTGCTAATATAACTGGGTTATAAAGGTAACAATAAAATGTTTTGGCCGTCTGTCAGCGTTCATCAGCGAATCATATTTCTTGTATCGTTTACTGCACAATCATTCATTGTTAAAATTGTGTTTATACTTTATCCGAATATCGTGTGGGGTAGATTTTCAGCTCATTATATAATTAATAGGTTACTCTGTTCATTAGCCTATATTTAAGTTTTTATTTGCTTTTCGATTCTAGCTCACTGCTACAAAGAAAAATAATATTAGATTTGATACATGACCGACTAAATGCAAGAGACATATTCGCAGGGCAAGCTTCCAAATGGGAAATACAAAAATAAAAGTGATTCAAAAGCCGATGGAATAGTGAAGGTTATGTAATTGCCACAGGCGAACAAGAAAATAGACAAAGATATATATTTGGATGATTTAGCCTATACAAATAATGAAAAGGGTAAAGAACATTTGTAGGTCTATAACTGTTCAAAAAACAAAATTAACCAATAGGCTGTGGCCATTTATCTACTCAAACTATTTTTAATTGTTTATAGAGTCGATAATTCTATTTGTAAAAATCTATTGTGCTTTTGGCTTTCGCGCTTTAATAATTTAGGCTTGTCACTTCGAATCCTTTCTATTCATATTTAAATTAATAAAGATTGTTATGCATATAGCCTACTGCTTTTCAGTAATAATTATTGACATATTTTTACCGACAAAGGGCAAGATTTAAACAAAGTGCTATTAAATATTATCTTAAACCAATTTTTTTCCCTTATAAAAATCCTTAAAATAAGGTCATTGCATGGCACTGGATTATTCTATCTTAACCAAGCACAACGACGCCCTCATGAGTTTCCCGACTATAAATTTAAATAAGTTTTTCCCCTTTTAAAAAGGTTTTCCTAAGAAAGGATGCTGTTGAATTAATCACGTATAGCCTACATGTCCTGCTGTAACTGACAAAAGGTAACAATGGCTTTCCGTTAATTAAAAAAACACAAATTATTAAAACATAACTTATAACCATAACCATACTTTAAGACATAGGCCTTATGAAAGCAACTAGTAATCTCAGCAAATAATTTATACCATTAAACCATCTTTGATTTACGCTAGTTAGTAGTTGGCCTTTTCCCAGAGAAGGGTTGCGGCTGGACGGGCACCCGCTGCGTAAAAACGTGCTGGATAAATTGGCGGTTCATTCCGCTGTGGCGACCCCGGATTAATAAAGGGACTACGCCGACAAGAAAATGAATGAATGAGTATTTGGCCTACATATGATCTATAAATTTTATTTAGCTATAGGCCTACACCTCATAACGATCTCAAAAAAATCCCATTTCTCATGCTCAATCTATAGCAACATCGCAATTAGGCTATTTTTTACGCAGTTTTGTTTTGTTCGCCATACTTTGAGAAAGGCTATGCGTCATTGACCGGGTTTAATGTTGCGCGAAATCAATACTGGCTTGTTAACTACAGTATATCACAGTTTTGATTAAATTAACTTTCATAAATCTGAACTTCATTGTGGACACAACAAGGACTGTGGATGAAGGACTGGAGGATGAATATATTAATATATTGAAATGTTGTAACGTCGCAAAAATGACTGTTTTTAACGACAAACAGCACTACACTGTTAAAAAAATAAAATAAATAAATAAACAAACAAATAATCAGGTTCCAAAAATGGTTTCTGCATTATAAACAACCACCCGACCAAACAACCGTTCAATGGCTTTTAAAAGAGCTACTGATTTAGTGTGAAGCACACTGTAATGATCTAAAGGACATTTTACGCTTTTAAAGAACCTCTTGAGAAAATAAAAGGTTTCAGAGACGTTAAAGGTTGTTTTTGGAAATAATGATGCCAATAACCTTTTTCAGAGTGAAGTCATGAACAATGTTAACTCTGAGAACTCTGAGACTAGTGACTACATGTTTGAACTGTTAAAATTTACAATTGGGATATTAAAAAAGGAAAGTCAATAAAGAGAATGTTATATCAGTGGCTGGCAAATGTAAGAGGCCGAAATCAACATTATGTTTTAAGGGAGATGACTTTGCATCTACCGGGATAAAAATGCTCAATTTTGTTATATTAATATATTAAGAAACAACAGCAATTTAGACACATACGTCCTGAAAAGCTTATATGGGTGGGCAAGACGCACCGTGTCACTAGATCTTTCGTGCTTATTGGCTCGCGCTGTGGCGGCTGCATGTGAAAGCGCACACGTACAGCAGGCTGAGCTCAAGCTATGGGCCTGTCTGAGCTAAAAGACGGGAGGTTAGGCTGATATCCTCTCGAAATCAAGGGTCTCCAAATGGATAGTGGGTGGTAAACCTTCGCGAATATAGCCTACAAAATCAGACATGGCTTTGCCCGGGATCATTGCGGTAGCGTTGTTCTCCGGGCTGCTCGTGATTCAGCCAACGCCGACGTTAGCATGGGACGCAGACCTGGAGCTTTTCGACCTAGTGGAGGAAATCCCTCAAACATTTTACGAGTTCCTGTCGGTTAATCAGGTAAGACTGATTTAATCTTTCAGATTTGTCACCTGCGCCGTTTAAACGCTGTCGGTAATGTTTAATGTGATATACGTTAACGTGTCGCAGCGTCGCCTTCAGTACGTTTAGCGCGACTGCACTCTCACCAAACTAAACAAACCCGTTTTTGTTAGCTGAATCGCTCTTTGCAGCCTGACTAGAAGGTCTCCAGACTCGGGGTGGCTGTGAAAGTACTCTGCCTCCTGCAGACCTTGGTCGGCGGTGGCCATTCACTAAGAAACCTCCAGGCTGTGGGCCTGTTCAACACAACATGACGTGTCATTACTCAGCACGCAAACGGTCATTTGAGCGATTAATTTCGCGGCTCGGTTGCTGAGGGATCTAACGTTACTTTTTTGAATCGCGACCCGTTATTTGTATAAACTAACTTAGCATTTAGTTTAACTTTCGCTCAATGTCAACAGTGCAAGTAAATACGGCTCGACCTTCGCTCAGTTTTTAATTCATTCTGATGTAAATTGAAGATGTTTTTCCCTTTAAAAGACATCTGTATTTTAGTTTTCAGCTACTCCGACACCGTTATTAACGTTACGTTAGTTTGTGCAGGCTGTAAAACCAGAGCTGCATCCTGTAACAGTATAAACAGCTGGTAAGTTAGCTGGTTAGTTACTAACGGTAGTCCTCATTGTTTACCATCATGTATAAACCCTCGGATTACAGCATGACAGTATTTGTCACGTCTTTTATTCTCAATGTATGAAAATGTAATGGCAAAGAAGCTTTTTGTTGTTGCCAATTCAATTCTGACAAAATCCAGTCCAGTCATACAATGTGTACTACTACTACGAACATGAACCTAAGCATGAATTGTGTTTTTCAGCATGTTCTGCAGTGTAAATTTTAGATTATATACGTTTCTGATTGGCAATGTTGGCAGTTAATTATTTATTTTAATGTTGATTCTGATTCTAACAGGATGCATCCTCTTCTGAGATCAGGAAGGCATATAGAAAGCTTTCTCTTATTTTGCACCCTGATAAAAACAAAGATGAAAATGCAGAAAACCAGTTTCGACAGGTTGGTGTTTTGTTGTGTTTAAAAGCGTTGTTGGAATAATGTAATTATTTGGAATACTGTAAATTACAGTTGAAATTTCTTGTCATCCAATAGTTAGTTGCCATCTATGAAGTTCTCAAGGACGAGGAAAGAAGGCAAAGGTAAAATATGCTACTTGCTTGCATAAATGTTTTTATTTTTTTATCCATTAAAAGTTGTTCTTGACACAATGTTCAATGACCATCAATAATACAGATTTCTTTGGTAACATTGAGATATGGAGTATTGATTGATTTAATTAGCCTTCGTTTATTGCAATATCAAAAACATTTAAGTATAAAAGCAATATTAAGGTATTTTTGGAGGGTATTGGTTATTGACTATAGGACCTTCTGTCCTAATGTAGCAGTGAAATGTGTAACAAGGTTTTTTAAAAGGGTTTAAGTATGGTTCATATAGGAATGTTAATAATTGATTGACCTCACACCTCTTGAGAAAGATAAATAAGACATTGTTTATACTGATGTGACTGCCTACTGTCTGTGAAATGTGTACTGCTGAAGTCTTTTCAACAATAGATTGTACAAAATACTTTCACAGATATGATGACATCTTGGTTAATGGGCTGCCAGATTGGAGACAGCCTGTCTTCTACTACCGACGTGTTAGGAAGATGAGCAATGGAGAGTTGGGCTTCCTCCTCTTCCTCATCCTGACCGTGGGTCACTATGCGGTTATATGGTCCATCTACCTTGAAAAGCAGTTAGTAAGTGCTGAAGTGTTGTGCTAGCTTCTGAAATGTTACATTTACAGCACTGATCGATGTCTTCATGCTTTATAGGATGAACTTCTGAGCAGGAAGAAGAGGGAGAAGAAAAAGAAGCAAACCAGCAAAATGACAGATGAGATGAAGCCTTTGGCTCAGGACAAAAATGAGAGGTTGCCTATTAACCTGATGGATGTTTTTTTTCATAAGGAGTAAGGGATGTTAAATGTAGCATTTAAATTTTTTTTTTTGTAGATCTGACAGGCCACACTGGCATGACATTTTACCTCTCAAATTAAGCATCTGGTTGTATTATTCAATAAAGTCTCTCCCTCATATCATACAGGTACAGTTTTTTCAGACTTTCAGATATTTTCAAAAGAGAAAATCTCATCATGGATCTGTAATCATGTTTGTCTCTTGTTTTAAGGATGTGAAGCAGTATTATAAAGATTATAAGGAAATGAAAGTAAAGGAGAAGGAAGAGGCAGAAGCTCTGGCAGAACAGGAAATGCAGCAGAGTAAGATCACAATGACACATGCAACTCGACACAATGTTGTGATATATGATTATTTATGTGTTGCTGTTAAATCTTGATGTGCAGAAGAAAAACGGCCCAAAGTGAAAAAAACGAAAGTGGAGTTTCCAGTCTATGAACCCAGTGCAAATGCAGCTTTCGCTCTAGCATATGATCAAGGAACATCTATTGAAGAAATTGAAGATCAGATGGATGACTGGTTGGAAGACAAAAAACAGCTGAAGAAGAAAGTAAGTTTTTTTTTTTTTGTTTTAAGTGAAAGATCAGTGGCTTGTAATGTAAACAGTGGTTTGGAAATGGAGGTATTGCATTAACCAGTGGCTGGTGATGGTTGTAGACACAAGAGTGGACAGAGGATGATCACAGTCAGCTCTCCCGTTGTATGGCCAAGTTTCCCGGTGGAACACCAGGACGGTGGGAGAAGATAGCTCATGAATTGGGCAGATCAGTGTCTGAGGTGAGTTTAGAAATAGTAAAGTTACTAGTGGAAGAAAAGTATCCAAGCATCCATAACTTTGCATGAAAGCACTTAAGCTAAGAAATCCCTTAGGAATAAGGTTAAAGGTAGCTTTAGTAAAACTTAATGGTCAAAGATAATGGTCAAGCTAAGGAAATTGTAGCTTTATTTATGTATTTCACCTTAATTATTTAAGTCTTCTCTTAAGCTATAGGTCTCAAACTCGATTTCTGGAGGGCCACACAGTTGCACAGTTTTGCTCCAACCCTAATCAAACAAAGCTGATCAAACTGATCAAGGAGGTATGAGTTTGAGGTGCTTGAAACCAAGCTGTGCAGAGCTGTGGCCCTCCAGGAGTTTGAGACCACTGCCTTAAGCTATGCTGTAGAGAACTTGGCAACTATTTTATCAAAATAAATCTAAGGAAGCAAAAAAGGGACCATAAACAGCTCTATTCGAATTAGACTCATTTCACTAGTAACCTTGTACAATTTACCATTTTTTTAATCCAGTCAGCTTATTGTTATGAGTGGGGTAAACATTTTAGCTTAGCATAATTTATTAAATCGGATTAGACCTTAAATTTAGAATCTTAAATTTATTTATCAAACATTGACATGAAAAATCTTATTTAACTTTGTGTGAATTTTATTTACATTTTAAGCTAATCTTAAATTGCTCCTGCTAAACCCAAAAAATTGTCTGATTGGATTTAATTTTATTTATATATATATATATATGTATGTATGTATGTATGTACGTACGTACGTACATACGTACGTACGTACGCACGCACTATAATTCTCATGTTCACAAGTCTTTTTGCCCTATACACTGTTCTATATTTGCACAATTCTGGTTTGCACTCATTGCCATATGCCCTTAATGTCATTGTATTGTATTGTTTACAAATTTTTATTCTTTGCGTATATTTTTAGACTACATTTTATGTATATTTTTAGATGACATTTTATGTATAATTGTATTTATTGTAAACGCTTTCTTCAAACTCTACTTTTTGTATTAATATTATATGTTAGGCACCTAGGGTCTGAGAGTAACGTAATTTCGATTCTCTATATGTCCTGTACATGTGGTTGAATTGACAATAAATTGACTTGTAAAATTAATAAGTGTTTCTATATGTTAATCTAAACTCAATATTTAGAGTAAAACGTATATAACGCAAAGAAAACAAAAATAATGTGCATGCATTTTGCAAACTAGTTTTTTGGCAGTTATCTTATTGTAATCAAATATTTGGATAAATTATTTTATTTATTTTTTCTTCAAACAGGTGACTGCAAAAGTCAAGCAAATCAAGGACTGTGTCACCAATACATCGGGTAAGCTGTTTGAGCAGTTAAGAAACTCAGAAAAATAGTATATTATCTGGCATGTTTGTCAGGAAATGTACTTGTATGTCTCACTATCCATTCTTGGTTTGCAGGGTTAGTGAAGTTCTCTGAACTGAAAGGTGGTGCGGTGATTGGAAAAAGCTCCAAAGCCATTACAGTGCCGGACAGTCTGATGACCCAGAGAGAGGAGCCTGTAGAGCAGCCGCTGGAGGATTCAGGAGAGCCCGAAGACTCCGAGAGCAAGGCACTCAGAAGACGGGCTAAAAAGTCTGCATCCGGGAGCACTGGAGCAGCGGAGGAGAGGATGAAAGGGCGCAGACAAAGAGACTTCGACCCTACAGCTGTGGATGAAGACAGTGAATATGAGAAGAAACCATCAGCTCCCAAAGAAAAAGCTGGTGCTGCTGAAGACGTCTGGACACAGAACCAGCAGAAGCTCTTGGAGCTGGCTTTACAGCAATACCCACGTGGCACCACTGAACGCTGGGACAAGATTGCTAAAGTGGTGCCTGGAAAAACCAAGGTAAGTATCAGACCAATCAGCCACAGTCGTCAGTATGAACCATTGTTTAATAAAAGGTAATACAATTAGGAGATTTAGGGCCTGTTTACAACTGGTCACTTCATATCTATGTTGGATGGTTATCAGGTTTGTGAAAATGGTTCTATTTGCATTTGGCCACATACATGCGTCTCCGCTAAATGGATATAAATCTGATATTCAAATCTGGTGCTGTATGAAGATGTAACCGTCCACTAAAGCGTCAGATAGACTGGATTTTACTTTATAGAAATAAACGCATCTTATTTAGCAAAATAATTTATTTTATAAGCTACAGGAGGCTTTTATACTTCACTCATGCTCCAGCATAACATCACAGTTGCACAAGGCAAACTTCATGCTTCATGATTACTGTCATTACAGGCTAAATGAAACATACATGTGTTGTACACATACACTCAAGACATCATTCAAAACTCACAGAAAACTAAGCACTGTGTTTTGTAAACAAGTGAAGCGCTATATTTTTCTATTGTTTTATAGGCCTTATTCACAGATATAGACTACTACACGTGTGTTTGAAGCTTTGTTGAAGCTGCCTTTTGATGTTAATCTATTAACATTCTAATTTTATCACATTACTGTTAATGACCAGTCAAAACTAGAATAAAATGGAAAATTAAATGCTGGGAGTTAGAAATCTGCAAAAATTCAAAAACGTATTTTAATTAACAGGTTTTGTCTATTAAATACAGGAAACCTTAACTTGTATTCGAGTAATTCATTCCCCATCAGAATAAATCAAATACCTTAGGGCAGGGGTGTCCTAGAAAGTTTATCTCCAACTTGCTTTAATACACCTGCCAGGAAGTTTCTAGTAAACCTAATAAGAGCTTGATTGGCTGGTTCAGGTGTGTTTGATTAGAGTTGGAGCTAAACTCTCCAGGACACTGGCCCTCCAAACTGAGTTTGGACACCCCTGCCTTAGGGTATGAATTAACTAAGAACCAATGGTAAGCGAGGATATTAAAACGGATCATATGACTCTGAAGACGTGAATAATTTAGAAAGTTACAGTTCAGTTTGAATCGCAGAAAGCATTACTTTTTATATATATATGCTACCTGACAAAGTCTTGTCGTCGGTATCAGTTGTAAGAGCAACAAATAATAACTTTTAGTTGATAATTTGGAAAAGTGTCAATGTTGATAGATAGATATATATATATATATATATATATATATATATATATATATATATATATATATATATATATATATATATATATATATATATATATTTATATTACAATCATCACGAATACTGCAGAAGCCACATGGACCCAAGATTTTCACAGAAATCAGTCAAGTTTGCTGAAGGAAAAATCATGGTTTTGGGTTGCATTCAGATGGTAACTTCAACAGCCTGAGGTATCAAGACATTTGTGCTGCCCATTACATTACAAACCACAGGAGAGGGCAAATTCTTCAGCAGGATAGTGCTCCTTCTCATACTTCAGCCTCCACTTAATTCCTGGAAGCAAAGAAGGTCAAGGTGCTCCAGGATTGGCCAGCTCAGTCACCAGTATGATGAACATTATTAAGCGTGTCTGGGGTAAGATGGAGGCATTAAAGAGATCAAGAATCTTGATGAACTCTAGGAGTCCTGCAAAAACGCTTTCTTTGTCATTCCAGATGACTTTATTAATAAGTGATTTGAGTCATTGCAGAGATGTATTTATGCAGTCCTCCAAGCTCATTGGAGTCATACACAATATTAATTCTTTCTCCACTGCACCATGACTTCATATTCTATACTTTACAATATTTCTGTTGAGAGACAAGACTTTAGTCTAAGCAAAGTCAGACCTTACTGTCCTAATTAGATCATTAAAAATCAAGACATGATCATTTATTTGGGTAAAATAAGCATAATCTACAGGCCTTCGCCTTTCACATAAGCCACTTCTGATGCCTTCTAAAATGATCAGCTAGAAGTCAAGTTTTTTTTTTTTTCCTAAAACTTGGATGGACAACAAGACTTGTTTCTTTCTCTCGCTCTTGTTTATTTTATATATATATATATATATTATTTATTATGTATTGGCTAGATTGTTAATTAATTATTTTTTTTTTTTGTGACCTGTTTAGGAGGAGTGCATGTGCCGTTTCAAACTGCTGGCAGAGTTGATTCAGAAACGGAAGCAGGCCAAGAGTTGACTGCTGCTCTTCAGTGTTTCACCATACCTCTCACCTGCTTTTATGTGCCTTAATGCGACCCTTTGTCCTGTTGTGAGACTACGTGCCATGAAACATCAGCATTAATCATTGAAGAGATCTAAATGCACATTTAAAAAGGTTTTATTTATTTTAGAATCCATTTCAGAGTCAGATTTTTCTTTTCTTTTCTTTTTTTTTTTTTGGTTCTCTATGCAACCAGAAAATGTGAGGAGCTGAAGATGCGTGTTTTAATGTTGTTTTCCCCCTTATTTGGATGTTTTTCAGAAGTTGTGCTGGAATCATTTTGGTCATGTTACATAAAGGATTTGCATACAACCCTGTCATGTTGTTCTTTTTTTGTTGCTGTTGGTTTTTTTGTTTTGAACATGTTTATGTTGTGTAGATTTTAAACCAGAGAATTGGTCAAATAGGTTTTATTAATGTTGTATGTGATGTATGGTCAAATTATTTGGTATCCATTTTTTTAGATGCAATGGAAAAAAATGTCATCTGAGTTTTTTAATGGAAAAAAATAAGTACTAATCAAATGAAAATGTATGAATATATTTCAGCAGTCCAAGTTCAAAAATTTCATAATGCTAATTTTTAGTTTACATTTTATAGGATAGAGCTCTCTAAAACAACCCCTGGCTTTTGTTTTTTTATTATAAAACTTAAAATAATGTACGATTGTAAATTTTACTTCAATCACTGCTACAGTCTATGTCGAATACGATACGGCTGTGATTTTGTGTGACAGTACATGATATTATTATTTTTATTTAATTTTTTTTTTTTTTTTTTTAGTCGGAGCATGAATATACCATATTAAAAAGCATCACGCGCATTGGAAAAGTTGGCTATTTGTAATGACGGAAGTGAACCGCAAATTCTTAAAACAGGGCGATGACACACAAGTGGCTTCAAAAACCTGAGCTATCGTCAAATGATTAAAAGAAAGACATTAACATGTTTATGGCACGTTTTTGGTTCCATTCACCACACTTATTAAACGGTCTCTGCTGACCTCTTGTGGATGTGAAAGGAAAAATCTTTGAAGTTGCTTCAGGTTTGTTTTGCTTCGTATACAGATATTAAACCAATATTTATTTTATAATTACACTTCACGACCGTCAGTCAGGTCACTCTGGTTAGACATCTTCATATCACAACCAAATGTGATACTAGTTGCTGATAACAAAGTCATTTTTTTTTTCACATTTTTGTTTAACTCATTTTATTCATTGTCAATGATCACACAATTTTGCTCTAACAACAATATAATATTGTCTTATATAGCTGAAAATCATACATTTTCATTGTTTTTCCTTTTGTAATATTTCATTAATTTTGTTTATAAAAGCCTAAAAGATTATTATAACTCCTCAACATTACATTAAAAGTAACCAACCTGGTGAATTATTCCCCGTTAGCTATGAAAATGTAAATGTTCTTACATCAAGAGTTATGTTTTAATTTAAAAATATTTTAGTCATTATTTCATATATATATATATAGAGAGAGAGAGAGAGAGAGACTTTTTTTCTAAACCTTTTGAATTATAAAATGTTTCTCCAACTGTAGGATTGTTCACATGGGAATTGATCTATAATGGGTTCAACAGTATAAATGTCTGTATTGCCAACATTTTTAAACCTCAAGTATCACATGTAACACTTTTTTCCGAATGATCAAAACAATCAAAATACGAAAAAGTTGGGACAGTATGGAAAATGCAAATAAAAAAAGTAAGTAGTGATTTGTAAATTTACATGAACTTGTACTTCATTGCAGACAATACAACAAAATTTTTAATGTGTTCCTTTTGATTTATTTATTTAATTTTTCAAACTACTGTATCCCAATTTTGGTTATTGCAACACATTTAAAAAAAAAAAGTGGAACTGTAAAGCCTTCACCACCTTCACCTTTGTACTGTTGCCATTCCTTTTCACAATGCTTAAAAAGACGTTTATGGACTGTTTATGGATGTTTCAGGTGTAGTTTTGTACCATTCTTCCTGCAAACAAGTCTCCTTCTGTAGCATTTTTCACTTCAAAATGCATCACACATTCTCTATTGGAGACAGGTCAGGACTGCAGATAGGCCAGTCAAGTATCAGAATTCTTTTCCTCCACAGTCAGGATTTTGAAATGAGTGCATAATGTGGTTTTGCAGTCTTGTTGAAATATGCATGGGCATCCCTGGAAAAGAAGGCTGTATATTGTGTTCCAAAACCCAGCATTAATGAGGGCACCATGACAGACAATGGCTTTTGGACACTGCGTCCATCCCCCCCCCCACCCCCCCCCCCCACCCAAAAAAAAAAAAAAACCTGAAATACTGATTCATCTGACCACATGTTTACACTGTGTTATGGTCCATGCCAGATGCATTCAATCCCAGTGAAGTCGAAATTGCTTCTGGACAATGTTAACATACGGCTTCTATTTGGCACAGTACAGTTTTCACTGTCATTTGTGGAAGTAACTACGTATATTGTGGTATGGGAAAAAGGTTTGCCAAAGTAGTTCTGAACCCATGTGGTGATATTGCTTACAGATAAATGACCGCCTGAGGAATCGCAGATGACAGTTCAGCTTAGGCTTGCGCTATTGTCCTTTATGCTCTGGAATTCCTCCAGATTCCTTGAATATTTTAATTATATTATGCACTGTTAGAGGAAATATCCAAATGTCTTCCTATCTTTCTTTGAGAAACATTGTTTTTACACATTTCAATTATTTTCTTAAATATTTGTTGGCACTGGCGATTCCCAGCCCATCTTTTCTTCTAAAGGTCTAGACCTTTCTTGAATGCTGCTTTTGTACCAAATCATAATTTGTTAAATAATAAGTTAAATAATAAGTTTATTCACATCATTATTTAACCAATTTACCTGAGTACTAGCCCTAAACTTATCCTGTCCCAACTTTTATTGTAATGTGTTGCAGGTGTGAATGACAGTAAAGGATGTATATTTATTATTTACAAATGAAATTAAGTTGACCAGACAAAACATGTCATATTTTGAGTTCATATTGTCTGCAATGAAATACAAGTCAAAGTAAATTTAGAAATCACTACTTTCTTTTTTATTTGCATTTTCCATACTGTACCAACTTTTTTCTGATTTGGGGTCGTATATGCAATATATATGCTTTCTATTATCTGACTGTCATCTTAGCTTGTAAAACGAGGCTATTATTTTTGTATGTCCCTCTTTTTCTGTTCAACATGATATAAGAGATCTGAGGAATGTTTATTCTCCATTGTACTGCATATGTAGGCTGCTAGTCCCTATAAACAAGGAAAACTACAAAGCTTTGTTAAATGTCATCTAATAATTTAATCACTTATTTATAATAAATATACACATTTTTGCTTAAAAACAAATACAGAGAGCAGATAATAACTTTAAAATTGCTCCTTTTGTACAGAGCAGTATAAGCTAAAAAATCTATACATGCAACTTTTTTTCTGTACAAAACCCTAACACCTTTTGATGCAAACCAACTAAATGCTACGCACTTATCTTAGCTCTTATCTGTTTGTTAACACTGAATTTCAATAAGCCACAAATGCGAACAGTTTCTTCAACTCTCACATGATATTTGGTTGCGACAAGCATCTCGTGGACGCTGTTGTTTTGGTGCTGCAGATGGCGCTCTTACACTGTTCAACACAGCATCTTTCATAACGTAAACAAGTTCGAGTAGACGCCACCTCTTCATGGAGGAAAAAAATAAATAAATAACTACAAAGTTTTGGGCATAAATGTAAAAAAGAACTGGTTTACACCACCATCTACCTCGACATATATAATTGAGTTTTAATGAGTTTTGGTTTAGCACGCAGCTGAACAGCTAAGCTAATTTGCTAACTTTACGTTAAATCGAAAAACTCAACGAAATAATACTAATAACTTTACAAAAAAGTCGGACCATTTACATTAAAATGTCCTCTTTGAAGGATTACAAGATCTTGCGTCTTTCATTAATTGTACTCTCGCAAATCGCTTACATTGTTGCTTTGATTATCAACGCGCTCGCGGGACCTGGGAAAGGTGAGTATATTTATTCAATGTTGCTTAAACAACCTTTGTCAATACAGCGGTTATAAATAATATACGTTTCTTACTGGCTTTCTAGGCCCGTTTCAGCACAGCACTGGAAATGTATCGGACAGATATCAGACAGAGATCACTCCTGCTGGATGGACCTTCTCTATATGGGGTGTAATTTATTCCTGGCTCTTCCTCATGAACATATATTTCCTGAGCTGGCTCTGTAGAGGGTACTGCACAACACACACATCAACACTGCTTTTTACAGTGCTGAAAGCCATTTCTTATAATTTGTATTAATTATTTGCTGTCAGGTTGTACTCAAGTCCAGCAATCCTGCCCTCTGTATTCTTTGTTTCATGGATCATCAACCTGATTTTAAACTGCTCCTGGCTGGTCTTGTGGGATAGAGAGTAAGTTGTGGCCAACTTTCCTTTCACTAATATTGCTACCCTTGGTAATTATGAGGAAAGAAGTGAGTGAAAAATGTCTTTATTGTTTTTCGCTCTGTTTTGTATTTAATATTTTGTTTAAATATTTGATATATTTTTGAACTATGGACAGTACTCAGCATATATAAGTACACCCCGCACAAATCTATCTTTTAAATTATTATTGTTAATAGGAAGCTATAAAATATTACATTTGTGTATACATTAGATTAGTTAGTACTGAAGCCAAATCTGGAGCTTATCTAAATAACTTAAGGTAGCAGTCCAAAAACTGGTACACTCAAATCTATATGTTATAGAAAAATATTTAATACAAATTTTTAAAAGAGGAAACAACAAGAGAAGGAAAAAAGAAAAAAAATTGTAGGTTGTATTTATTTTGCAGTATTTTGCTTGAATTTAATTATATTATCTTTCAATTTCTAAATATGTTTGGTGACTAAAATATTATTTAAAAACATATATCTGTTAAATAAATGATTTGTTTAAATGCACCATAATACATTGCCTATATTCACATGGAAATGGATAAAAATATGAATCTTCAAAATGGGGTGTACTCTATTATGTGAGCTAGTTCATATATATATATATATATATATATATATATGTATATATATATATATATATATATATATATATATATATATATATATATATGAACTGTTTTTAAAGTACGAAAGTACCCTTTCAAACTATTTGTGGTGATGTCGGATTGTAGTTTAGAGACTTTCTGTCCCCATGACCCAACTAAATACTGCAATTTTCCAGCTGTGATACTTGAAGACCTCTTGTCCACTCAAACGTTCTCCTAATAGTGCTTTTGGAAAAGACATGTTCTCTTCCAGACTGACTCATAACACATGTCAGTGGAAATGGCCAATTTCAGTTTTTTATTCTGTTTGTGAATCTCAACAACTTTTTGCAACAAATAACAGCAGTTGTTTGGTCTTTACATTGTGTTAGGAATGTATGAGTGAGTTTGGTCTGTTTTCTCATATTTTCACTACCGTGATTGAAAAATGTCCTGATCCTGGTCACTCAAGTAAAACACCATTGGGAAAATCGCGAAAAAATATTTAGCTTATATGAAATCATAGGGATGCCAAAAATTGAGACACATAGCGCTTTGATAAAACTGTGGTGAACATTGAAAATACAAATTCTGTTATTTATTAGACATCTTCATGTTGTTCCAATCCCCTGAGATCTTAAGTACACAAAATACAATATTTTAGAGGAATCCCAAGAGCGGTCTGAACATGAACAACAATGGCTCCGAGATATGAATAATCCAGAAAAGGAACCCAAAAACACTGTCAAAACATTCTGTGACTTTAGTGGTTCAACTACCAACCTCAAAAAACTCCTTTGTGAACTAAAAAACTAAAATGATCTTTATTTGACAATCTTCCTTCTCTTTCTTGTTCTCTCTTCCTTGACTACTCCCTGAAGCAGTTGTAGAGAGGACATACGTGAAGTGATTTTTACTGATTTTTAGCACACAAAAGTGTTCATGGAGCTTTGTCCCTGGACTATTCCTGTCTCTGGAGGATGAGAAAGCTCTCAGGTTTCATCTAAAAGATCTTAATTTATGTTCCCAAGATAAACAAAGGTCTCAAGGATATTTCCAAATATCAGTGGATATTTTATCTTTTTCATACCTCTTTTCTTTAAATACCCTAGAGATAGTTTTGTGTGAAAAACCCATTAGATCAGCAGTTTCTGAAATACTCAGACCACCCCGTCTGGCAGCAACAACCATGCCATGTTCAAAGTCATAAATTACCTTTCTTAACTTGTGTTCAGAAGATAAACAGTAGTCTCAATGGATTGGAATGACATGGAGGTGAATAATTATTAATGTAGTTTTTATTTTTGGGTCAACTAATCTTTCAACAAAAGATCAAAAAGTGAATGGATACAGACATTATTTCATAGCATTGTTTGCTCACCAAAAGTGCCAGTATTAGTGGAAGGGCGAGGCGCTGTTTTTCTCAGCATAATCCTAAGAGCTTTGCCAGGTGTTTTTGAAACCTCTCAGGATGTCACATGCTTTGTTTCAGATTGATGATTGCCGCACTGATAGTTCTTGCCCTGATTGCTTTCACCAACTACCTGCTAATCTACTTCTCATGGGTTGGTTTACGGGCTCATGGATCTTGGCTCAAACAGCACCACCCAAAAGACCTGTTCTGCATCATAGTGCTGGTATGCATTGAACTTGTTGGATTTGCCTTGATGATAGTTGCAAGAGTTTTCATAATAACATATACACTGCGCAGCACTTTATTAGGTACACCTTACTAGTACACTTACTTTCAGAACTGCCCAAATCCTTCGGCATAGATTCAACCAGGTACTGGAGGCATTCCTCAGAGATTCTGGTTCATATTGACATGATAACATCACACAGTTACTGCAGATTTGTCAGCTGCACATCCATGATGTGAATCTCCCATTCCACCACATTCCAAAGGTGCTCTATTGGATTGAGATCTAGTGGTGACTGTGAAGGCCGTTTGAGTACAGTGAACTCATTGTCATGTTCAAGAAACCAGCTTGAGATGCTTTATGACATGGCGTGTTATTCTGCAGGAAGTAGCCATCCGAAGATGGTAACACTGTGGTCATAAAAGAATGGACATGGTCAGCAACAGTACTCAGAGAACTAATGGGCCCAAAGTGTGCCAAGAAAATATCCCACACATTGTTACTCCACCACCACCAGCCTTAACCGTTGATACAAGGCAGAATGGATCCATGCTTTCATGTTGTTGACACCAAATTCTGACCGTATTATCCGAATGTTGCAGCAGAAATGGAGACTCATTAGATCTGGCAACATTTTTCCAATCTTCTATTGTTCAATTTTGGTGAATTTTAGCCTCAGCTTCCTGTTCTTAGCTGACAGGAGTGGCACCTGGTGTGTTCTTCTGCTGTTGTAGCCCATCTGCCTCAAGTTTGGACGTTGTGTATTTAGAGATGCTCTTCTGTGTACCTCGGTTGTAACGAGTGGTTATTTGAGTTACTGTTGCCTTTCTATCAGCTCTAACCAGTCTGGCCATTCTCCGCTGAACTCGGCATCAATAAGGCATTTGCGCCCACAGAACTGCTGCTCACTGGATATTTTCTCTTTTTCTGACCATTTGAATTCACTTAAATCACCTTTCTTCCCCATTCTGATGCTCAGTTTCATCTGCAGCAGATTGTCTTGACCATGTCTACATGCCTAAATGCACTGAATTGCTGACATGTGATTGTCTGATTAGAAATTTGTGTTAAAAAACAGTTGGACAGGTGTACCTAATAAATTGACATTTAAAATCACATTGATGTTATTTAAAGAGAAATTTCACCAAAAAAAAAAACTGTCATCATTTACTCATTCTTTCTTCAGTTGAACAACACAAATGAAAATATAGTGTAACAGCCATTATTTTTTATCCATTGCATTTTTTGTTTATACCATGGGTGTCAATAGCGGCTTTTTTCCGTCATTCTTCAGATAATCTTTTTTTGTGTTCAAAAGAATTCATGAAAGTTTAGATTCACTTCATTGTGAGTTAATGCTGAGGAAATAAAAAATAATGGGTGAACAGTTTCTTTAAATGCTCAGGATCAAGTCAAATGAAAGATTGTAGGAATTAGTTGAACTACGGTTTTGGCTGTTGATTGAACTTTTTCTTACATGTGCCTCAGGTTCAAAATGGTATCGCCACTTATGCAACATGGACAACCATTGCAACACTGCTCAACTTCACTGTTGTTTTGAACTTGGCATCAGTTTCTGCAACAAATGCTGCCACAGCTTCTTTATGCATACTTCTGCTGGAAGTTATTATATGGTAATCATGAGATTTCTTTTATACCATTTAGTCTGTAATATATGTCAATGACACTGTGCACTTTTAAAATATCTGGATATATAATAAATAAAAAAAATATGTACACTGAAATTTTATTAAGGTAAGAGGTTGCAGACAAATTATATTGGCTTAATTTGACAAACAAATTAAGTTGATCGTTGATAAATTCAACATGTTTGTTTAAATTCAGCCCATATAAATTGTTTGCAATCACTTACCTTAAATTCTAAATCGAATAAATCATTTTTCAGTGTATATATACATAAAGGATTGTGACTGCTTTGATGAATGTGATTATTAATAGTTGATGTATTAAACTTTTTTTTTAAATGTAGATATTTTAGATGATTCTATATGTATGTTAGTGTGTATTCATTTCTAAATGTAACTTTAAAGAAGTTAGTAATGTTATCGTGAGACAGCTTTATTAATATGCTAATAACATAAATGAAAAAAATCTATATTTAAAATAAAAAGAAATCCTTATTAAAATTAGATTATCTTTCTACAGGTTTTCAGTTGAAAACTTCCTAATAGAGAAGCATGTGCGTTACATCCTCAGCGTTTACCCTGTGATTGTCTATGCTCTGTCTGGAAGCCTAAGCAAGCATTATGACTCAACAGCTCCAGGCCGGAATGCAGTCTTTTCAGGTTAGTCAATGATTATTTTATTATTATTAATTTTTTAACCATAAGCATAGCCTCATGAGGTCACAAACATTTATACATGACTCACAAAATGATGTCACACATTAAAGTGCGGTTTTGTTTTGTTTCTCTATAGTGGTGCTGCTGGTGCTGGCCTGTATTGTGTTTGTGGTGCGGTTGACGCTGGTGGTTTGGAGACACAGGACTCGGCCTCTTTTTACCTATAGTGACCCTTGAAGTCCTGATGTCACCAAATAGTGGCACTGAAAATTAATTAAACCTCATAAACACATTGCATGTCATACTAAAAACTGACATAAAACTGACACAAATAATTATGCTTATAGTTACAGTATGCATGAAAGTTTTTCAGTCAAAACAGATGCACTATTATGCAGTACAGTCCCACACATATGTATCTTCTAATCTTGGGTCAGTATGTGCCTATAAGATGACAGTTCACCCAAAAATGTAAATACTGTAATCATTTACTCACCCTTCGCTTGTTCTTAACATGTTTGAGTTTCTTTCTTCTGTTGAACACAAAATAAAATGTTTTGAAGAATGCTGGAAAGAGGGTGACACAGTGGCTCAGTGGTTAGCACTGTCGTCTGACAGCAAGAAGGTCACTGGTTTGAGTGCAAGTTGGGCCAGTTGGCATTTCTGTATGGCGTTTGCATGTTCTCTCTGTGTTGGCATGGGTTTCCTCCGGGTGCTCCGGTTTCCCCCACTGTCCAAAGACATGTGCTGTAGGTGAATTGTATAAACAAAATTGTCTGTAGTTTATGAGTGTGTATGGGTGTTTTTTTCTAATACTGGGTTGCAACTGGAAGGGCATTCACTGCGTAAAACATAGGCTAGAATAGTTGGGGGTTCATTCCGCTGTGGCTACCTCTGAAATAGAGACTAAGCCGAAGGAATACTGGAAAGTAGCAACCATTCCATAGTATTTTCTTTCTTCCTACTATGAATATCAATGTTTGTTTCCAACATTCTTCAAAATAATTTTATTTTTACAAAATAAGTTTAGGACCACTTGAGGGTGTGTAAATTTTCATCACTTTTATTGTGTCCTAATTTGTTTTATACACCATTGCAATTTAAAAGTTTAAATAGCTGTTTCTGAAAGTCTTACCGAGGCTGCATTTATTTGAATACCAAGATTAGCATAGTGAAATGTTTGCTGTAATTTACTGTTTTTTTCTTCTATTGCTATATTTGTAACATTTAATATTATGCATGTCAGATTTTGACCAAAAATATCAGTATTATATCTGACTGTATTTTGAATAGGTAGTTATGTAATGTGTATGTGATACAGGGTTTCTGCAGGTCAAAAAAGGTCTTAAAAAGGGGTATAAAATACATTTTCCATTTTAATTAGAGTTTTTTCTAAAGCCATTGCCAAATATTTGTTTTATTCAAGAAAATGAATAGCTGACTTTATTAGCTGGGATCAAACTCATTGCCTAAAATTATTAAGTAGATTAACTATCTGGGTAATTATAAAAATTAAGTCAACTTAACAGTTTCAAGTTTTAATAGGTTTTCTCTCTCAAGTAATAATCGCTTTTTACAGTATAAATTCACTTGATTTTATTATTTTTCTCAAAAAGCAAGACTTCTTATCCCATAAGTTTGTTTCTCAATTAAATATATCTTGATATTATATGTGTACTGGAAAAGGAGACAAAAATACTGATATTACTTTATTTGCAGTGCGACGAGCAAAAAACTGTTTAAGTTATGTAAACGTTTAAGTGTTTGGGAGCAATGTTCTCAAAACTTTGAGATATTGTTTTATAAAATGAATTAAAAAGTAATATAAATTTCATTTCTAAGTTGGAATTTATTATTATTATTTATTTCACATGATTGCATATGCTGCCTATAAATGTACACTGAGAGACCTCACTGACATACGGAATTGTGGTCCCTTCAAATTATCATTTTTGAACTTGATCTTAAAAAGTCTTACAAAATTAATAAGCTTAACTTCATTAAATCTGCAGAAACACTGTTAACATTAATGTATCACAAATCCTTAAATACAAAGCAATATATAAAAATAAGAAGTAATATGCAGTATATATCATACAAGAATGAATAATGCTTGCAATAACATGTTTCAAGTAGGCCTTAAACATGTTTTTTTTGTCTTTTTTTTACACTTTTGTTTACATTTTTAAAAATATCTCATTTACTGATGTTTAATAAAATACTTGAAATGCATCTCATTTATTTCAAATCTTGATGATTACTAAAAATGTATACTAATGTTAATTGATTTGTGACAAACCCCTGTTATATGTAGGTTTAGTTCTGTACGAGTGCTCTGGAAACCACCCTGCGAGCTTCTGAAAACATGGGCTTTGAGCAGTGATTAGAGACATTCAGTTGTGTGTTGTGAATGATACACACACTTTGATCATGAACATTTACTTTGGTGTGGAGGTGAAGTGAAGCGTCTTGTCATGCATGTTTTTGGCCTTTGCAGAGTGTGCGTCTCCTGGCAGCAGCTGCAGCAGGCTTGACCCTGTGTACTTTGGCTTGTTCGCTGCTGGATGAATTACTTATGAGAAACTAAAAGACAAATAAAAAACTTTTTTTCTCTGAAGGAGATTACCAAAACCTCTATTTCAGTCTCACTCACCCTGTGTGTGAGTATTGAAGTAGCATGTTTGGATTTTTCTTTCGTAATATTAAATGTCAAATGTTTTGTTAAATATTGCATTCAGTAGAGCAAAGTATGCATGTCGGCTGACTACTGTTGTGTTGTACCAGGAAAAGGAGTTCAGATTGTATAAAATTATTGAGTGTGTTTAGCAGGGATTTAAATTAAAGGGGCAGTTCATGCCAAAATGAAGATTTATTATAATATTTTGTAAATAAAGATCATAAAGATAAATATTGAGTAAATCTTCATTTAAATTTATGAATCTTCATCTGAAATTTGAGTTACTGTTGTTTAAACTAAAACAACAACAATGACAGCTTACAATATTTATTAAAGTATTATAATAGTGTTTATTTGCATCGTAAAAACATTTCCACTATTTCAAACATTTTTTGAACAGGTCTTAGCTCAAGAAAGGGTTTCTGGTCTTTTCATTCAATCAGAATCAGTCTCTGGACTCAGAATATCAATCACTCAATCACTCACTCACTCAATCAATCCAATCAATCAATCAATCAATCAATCAATCAATCAATCAATCAAACAACCATCCAACCAAAATTGAATCCCCACTCATGTTTAAGTAGTAGTACTAAAACATTTAAATTGGGCAAAGCCACTTTGATTAAAAAGGTTATAAATCTTGAACTGAATAAGTTCAGCCATATGCTGGAGCCATAACAATAATAATAATAATAATGAAAATGGGTGTTTGTCCAAATCACTAGAAATTTGGTATGTACTATTTGTGTCCAAAGTGCCACCAATATCTTTGACTGCATTGGTAGCCAATGAAATTTCAGTATCTATTAGTTTAACAGAAGAAACTGATTGGAACGCAACCCATATCCCATAATCCTATGCATTACATTTTTGAGCTAAAATAAAAAAATTAAGATGGCATCACAAAGTGCTGCTTAGGGTGTTAATTTGTGTTTTACTAACTTTGTTTCACATTTTTAGTGAAAAGTTAGTATTGTAGTGACCAAATAAACAGATATAACACCCTGCAGCCCAAGACCAGTTACTCACTGAAGTTAAGCAGGGCTGAGCCTGGTCAGTACCTGTAGGGGAAAACTACCACATGGGAAAACTAGGTTGCTGTTGGTAATGGTGTTAGTGTGGCCAGCAGGGGCGCTCAACTTGCGGTCCCAATTCCCCTAGTAAAGTGAAGTGTCTTTCGGATGAGATGTTAAAATGAGGTCCTGACTCTGTGGTAATTGCATGGCACTTCTTGTAAAAGAGTAGCAGTGTAACCCGGTGTCTTGGCCAAATACCCTCCACAAGCCCTTACTATCATGGCCTCCCAATCATACCCAGCCACCGAATTGGCTCTATCACTGTCTCTCCACTCCACCAATAGCTGGTGTGTGGTGAATGCACTGGCGCCGTTGTCCTATGGCTGCCGTTGCATCATCCATGTGGAGGCTGCACACTGGTGGTGGTGTAGAGAGATGCTTTGGGTGAATGGCCATTTATGATAAATGTGCCATAAAAGTACGCACATTATATTACAAATGTCATCTTACTTATCACCAAAGCTCTTTCTGTTACTGTAAATTGAAAGTCTGGTAACATTGGAGCGAGGATCCATGTGCAGCTTTATTTGGAATCGTCAGACAGGCAACAGCCAATCACATGAGCAAACTGGTACAGGGCAATCCAGAAGCGAAGTCAAGTCACAGGCAAATGGTCGATACAGGCGGCAAACAACAGAAAACAATAAACAAGGCAAGTGTCAAAAACAAAAACAAGACTCAGCAAAGTTTGTGTGAATGTGTGGTGTATATATAGTCCAAGTAATCATTCAGCTGTGTAAGTGTGCCAGAGTTCGGATGACTGTCGGCTTTGGCAGGAGTGATTGGAGCAATGACTTCTGGGAGTCGTAGTTAAAGAGGCAGATGTGTAGTTTTCCAGCGATCTGTAACTGTTAGATCACTGGTGATCATAAAAGTTATGTTGTAAGTCATCAAATGGCTATACTGTCTTTTTATGAGGTGCCCTGCAGTAATCATGCCTCTGAAGTCACTACCTAATTAGGCATCCAGGAAACAAGTCAGCAGCCTTCGTGAGAATTTGAAAGAAATTGGCCACACTTGGTGCTAACAAATTTTACGCCTTGCGTATCACACATTGTTTTAAGCATGAACATCTTGTTCTTCTTTTTAACCAAACTTTGTTGTTTATAATATAACTAGTCGATTAAGATGGTACTTATAAATGAGTCCTAATAAAAACCCCTTATCAGATTATATGTGACAAGAAGAAAAAAAAGGTGATTAATACTATTCTGGTACATTTTCATTTCTTTATATTAACCTAAACCAAACATTTTATTTATCAGAATCACCTAATATGACACTATTATTGCTATATTGCTGATGGCAACAAAACATGACAGAGTTAAATGGAGTGGAAAAAACACATTCAGTGAAGTATACTCCAGTTAAAGTCTCTCTCTTTGAACTGCTGTATTTGTATGAGAGCAAATTGACATTAAGTAGTTACTGGTTCAAACAACTAAGTTGCATGTGTAGCCGATTGCACCACTGTTGACATAATCGTCATCGTCTTCTTCTTTTTCTTGACATTTGTCCAAGGAATATTTTTGAACTAGTTCATTTACCAGTGTTTTCAGGTGATACATGGTAAATATCAACACAATGTCCAAAATCCAAACGCAGAACAAGAAGTATCGATACCATTTTCCATAATAGTCCTCTTGAGAATGCTAAAAAAGAAGATTTTTGTGTTGTTTGTTTCATTAACATGATCAGTGTTTTCATAGAATATCAAAAATTAAACTATACACACATTTATTGTAGAAAATAATGTGTGTGTGTGTGTGTGTGTATGTGATTTAATTTGTCAAGTAATTAATGCATTTACCATAATTCTCGTCTGCTCCTCTATCTTCTCAAAAAAAATCTACAAAATATAAATATACATATAGGGTTACATGTCATTTAAAATTTTACTCTGAAAAACAAAAACAAAATATTAACATATTACAAAATAAATAAGTAAGTTACCTTATTTTAAGTAGATTTACAGTGAACAGGACCAGTCAGCTTTCACCCTGTTTGCTGATATGCACTAGGCTGGTGTTAAAAGGCACTTCCTCTGTTGTACAAATTCAATGTTGTGCTATGTAAGTATACAAACATCAGCTATAGTTGCAGGGACAGGAAATAATTAAATGTCTGAACTTTAAATATTTTTAAGCTGCTACAGTTAAGTGAGAGCAATCTGATATTTATCTTTCAAGCTGCTTCAGGTGGACTCCTCACTTGTAGTCTGTTGTCGACACTGTCCTCTTGTTGGCGTCTGTTCCAGTAATGTTCAGTCCTGATTCCTGATACTAAAAGTTGTTTTCAGGTGATATGTGGTAAATATCAGGAGTTAGGAAGATATCAAAAATCTAGATGCAGAGCAAGATGTATCGAGACTATTTGGCGATAAAGTCTTGAAATCACGCTCACACACAACAACATGACAAAGGTGGATGATACATTTTGCTATTGTAACAGGTTCAATGTTTTAATAAAATGTCAAAGCACAAATCATACCCTTGATATACGAATTTATCAATTAAATGGATTTCTTACCATATATCTCAGCTTCTGTCACATCTTCTCAACTTCACTGAAATAATTTACATTAATTTAGCTGTAATTATTTATGTTTGCAAAGTTATTTAAAAGGCTAGTTTACCCAAATGTTAACATGTTAACAAGTTGTTTCAGGTCTTTATAAGAAAGCTAAACACAGGTAATTACCATGGAATATAATGGCAACTGGTTTCCAGAAGAAAGCAGAAGAAAGAAACCCATAAATATGTGGAACCACTTGAAGGTGAGTAAATGTTGACAATTTTTTTCTATTTGGGTGAACTCTTTAAATGTGTAAAAAAGAAAAAGAAAAAAAAAAGATCTTACCTATCCTTAAGTGATAAAAGTAATGGCACAGCAGCAACGGCAAAGTTATTCTGTTTACTTCCACTTTATTGGATATTTTTGAAACTGTAATTTCCAAACAATTAAACATTTAAAGAGTTCAGATGCAAAATCCGCTAAACGCCACTTCCGGCAAAAATGAGATAATGACATTGAGTGATTGCTTTAGGTGCGTATTACATGTCCAACAAATATTTTTGTTTCAAATGTTTTAAATCATTTAAAGTGTCACGAAACACCAAAACATATTTTTTGAGCTGTTGACAGTCGTATATGTGTCCCACACTGCTAAAAACACTATTAGGACACCTATATTTCACTAAACAGTGTAAATTGGTTGTTTTTGCATTATTTCAAGCAAATTCGTACCTCCGGTTTGAAACGATTTTCTGAAGCTGCGTCACGGATATGACATAATAGCGTGTATTCCAGCGTGCAGACTCTGTGCCAGAGTGTGTCTTATTATGTCTTACAGTGTGATGCATTAATGCATGAGTTAAGCTTGGTTCAAACCAATCAGCGCGCTCTATTGTGCAACTTCATTAATATTCATTACTGTCATAGTGTTTAGAAGACAGAGACGCCATGTTGTGTTGGCAAAACAAGCGTGAAGTGTTGCTTTTATAGTTTGCTGCAGTTAAGTTTTGTTTTCATTTTCTCTCTGTGACAGCGCAGCTGGCGTCACGTGTGGATGCACAGTGTACGCGATGCGGGACAACAATAACTTAGGTGTCTAAGGAGGATTATTGTTTACCTGAGAGCTGTTCTCATCTGCAAACGCTGAAATCCGGATTCGCTTGTAGAACCCTCTTAATAGAGACGCAGCTCTAGTTGCTGGTGATTGTTCTGTCTCTACAGATTTGGTAAGTGAGCGACCAGTGCTCTTTGTTTATTCAGTTTGTTCGTATCGAACAAACTATTGCACCGAGTGTAAACATGTTAGCACCACAACCAAACTTTAACCTCGTTTAGGGTTTTCACCGCATTTTGTGACCGGAATAACACACGCGGCTTTCTGACGCTACCTGCCGTGTGCATCTAAGTTTCCGGGAAATGCTGAGGTTGTAAGTGACCACTAAATCACTATATCCCTTTAAGTCATTTTAGGGCATCAGAGCATGTCACATGTTTCGGTAGCCTAGGTGACTAATAGGTTAATCAGGCTAGCAGGAGCGAAGAGAAGACACGTTGCTGTGCGATTTATGGAAAAAAGGAGGCTAAATCCTGCACAGTTTATTTAATAGAACCCTTTGGTAAAGCGGAGCGAGGTCTGTGAAGTTAATATTTAAGCCACATTAGTTTGTTTGTATGTATATGTTAATCGTGAGCTCTACCTTTTTATTAGTTGTTTCAAACTGTCTTCATATACTTCATTGTTTCATTTTCATATGTCGCTCTGTACATTATATCTTTATTTGTCATATTATTCAATATACGAGTTGTTTTTATTGATTTTTGTTGTTTCTTTGTGTAGTTTCACGGTGCTACGCAACGAAAGTTTAATGGCTCTCGTCTTAAGCATAATAAAGAATCAAGCACCAGTCAGAAACTCTCTGTCTCGTTCATGGAAACCAAAGGGCAGCTACAGAGTTTTTTTTTTTCTCTCATTTGCCGTGCGATATTAAACATTGCATGAAAAATACACGCTTAGAGCAGTTCCTCGAATCAAATATCTCGTTTGTCGCGAGGGACATGAATGAATTTCCTGAATGAAAGAGCCAAAATGCAGGTAAAGTCCATAATTTAATAATTTGGCAAATAATTCGACTACAGATGTCCATGTAAACATGACAGTGACCGTGGAATGTTTGATACCGCACGTCGTATAACAGAAAAAAAAAACTCAGCATTTCTCTGTAACTTAGACGCACTGGGTACGTAGCATCAGAAAGTCGTGTGTGTATAGACGGTAATAGTTTGATAGTTATGTTTACATGTTTACACTTAGAGAGCCGCATTTACAGCGCATTTTTCAGCCCATAATATTGTAGTGACATTACCGTACTGTAAGCTTAGTAACTCAGAAAACATTTTGACTAGGTTTAAAAAATGAAAGAGTACTGCTGACATACTGTTAACTAACTTTGCCATCTGAATGCAAAAACAAAGGGCACTGATCACACACATTTACCAAATCTGTAGAGACAGGACAATCAACACCAACTGGAGCTGCATCTTTATTAAAAGGAGATGAGCAGCAAATCCGGATTTTACCTTTCCAGATGCCAAACGCTCTCGGGCAAAAAATTTATTTTTGCTGCATGTCGCGTGCACTGTAGTCCACATGTGAGTCCAGCTGTGCTCTCATAGAGGGAAAATGAAAACAAAACCTTTGTTGCAGCACATTTAAAAATGCAACATTGACGACCTGTGTCTCCAAACAATTTTTGTTTTTCTTTCACTTGTTTTGGCAACACAATTTGGCGTCTCTCTGCCGTCTGAACACTGTATCGGGTACAAACAGTCTTCGAAGCTATCATGAATATTAATGAAGTTACACCGTATACACAATAGAGCGCGCTGATTAGTTTGAACCAAGTCATGAATTAATGCTGCACGCTCAGAGATGTCACTTTGTAATCCCAGGTACAGACAGCCAGTCTACACACTGGAATACAAGTGAGTATCTAATCGGCGTGACGTAGCTTCAAAAATTAGTTTCAAACCTGAAGAACGAATTTGCTGGAAAAATTGCAAATACAACAAATTTTCACTTTTTTGTGAAATATATGTGTCCTAATAGTGTTTATAGCAGCGTGGTACACATATACGACTGTCAACAGCTCAAAAAATGTGTTTTGGTGTTTCATGACCCTTTAATTTGCATGCCAGCGCATTCAGAAAGAACAGTTTGTTCACAAAAACCTCTAAATGCTACCTGCTTTTGGCAGCAAAAGCTGCTATATCCCGAGAACCAATCAGAAGGCGTAAATCGAATCATTTGTTTTCAATGTAGCAGCCCGCTGATATATGGAAGGTAAATCCTGCCAATTTTAAATAAATCAAATAAACATTGGAAATGAAAATGAAAATCAGATTAACAATTTCATTTTAAAACACTGTTCGCAAAATATCTGCCAAAATTGAAAATGAAATTAAATTATTTCATTTTTATTTTCATTTTCACTTTGACAACACATCGTCCCTGTCAAATTGATAATTAAAATGTAGTTGCCGATTTAACATTTCATTTTCACTGCATTTCCGCATCAAGACTGCCAATATTAAAATGAAAAGCCAAACTGAAAAATAAAATGCAAACCAAATTTTTACAAAGCGTGTTATTAATGTTCACGCTATAATAGTGACACAATTCAAATTAAAATGTAAATTTAAGCTTTCCTTTTATTGACACTTTTTCATTTCAGTTTTCATTTTCGATTTCATTTTCAACTTCAAGCTGCATGCAAAGCCTATGCTAATCAGTGGGAGGGGCGTATTTGAGTGACGTCGAGTGCTTTCACACACAGAGACCGAGGGCAGAAGCACGGTTTTGATGGATGGGACAGGGTGAGTTTACTTGTGTAAATACAGTATAACAGAAGTAAAATGGCAAAACTGTTAGTCAGCTTTTACGTGAAGCAGCTGCTTCATTGGTAGAGCAAGAGGAACACGGGACACTGGAGAACCAAACGTCAAACTTCCGTCCCGCAGCAGGAGTCGCGGACTTCCTCAGTGGGCAGAGAAACTGCAGTGTAAGTGCGGTAGGCCTTGTGATGAAGTCGTATTGTATATACTGTATTAGGTCTTGTGACGTTAACAACTTGTTAGTCCTAAAATCGTTGAAAGACAGCTAAATCAGCTCGGTAAAGTTGGTTTTAGGTTTGATATTCACCACAGTCATGCATTATAAGAAAAAGAAAACATACTGTACAGTCAGATGTGTAGCATGCATTCCTAACGTTTTTTGCGCAGTGACTCTACTTTGAATGAGTTCAATTTATTAAACATTAAAGGGCAACTCTATTTCATGAAATGAAGTTAAGATGCTGTTCTTTTATCCCACATGAATGCTATGAGGATAAACAAGAGACCAAAAAAGATCCTAAGAGCTTGAGTATGGTGTAAATGAGTGCATGACAGCTTCTTATAGTGTCTGAGAGTCATCCCCTTTATGCCCATTAGACCTTGTGGTGTATTTGCTAATTTCAGCTATTTTTTAAAAAGATAAATATAATGTAAAACACTATACATTAATTCTATTATTTCATTAAGTCTATTAAGCTTTTTATATTAATGGACAATGCACAGATATTGATGTTTCACAATGTTTTTACACTTCATTATTTGAATCTAACAAGAAAGTTTGCAATGTTTACATAGCTCAAGTTAAATCAAAATCCCAAATATCAGAAAAGACAACAGATTGCTAAGATTTAATTAATGTTAATTTTAATGTTATTGATTAATGCACTTAGATTTCATTCATTCATTAATTTTCCCTCTGCTTTTTTCCTGGTTTATCATTGGTTACCACAGCAGAATGAACCGCCACTTACTTGACAGATTTATGTATTTTTAATTTAAGGTGGTTTCTGTAATGTGTTTTATGTTTAGTAAATAATTTCTAATCGAATCTTTAGTGATTTTCATCTAATTACACTGTCTTATCCCAATAGGTGGATTTACAGTTTTTTGCAAAAAAAAAAAAAAAAAAAGCAGACGTGGATTTAACTGGTTTTGATGCAAAAGAAAATCTACCTTCTTAAAAATCAAAGAATTATCTAAAGTGACATTTTGGAAAAAGAAAAAAAAAATGATTATTTACTAGCTCATAACCATATCATTATCTATAAAATGAAACTTCTGAACCTAATCAAAGGAGCCTAAAAAATGCTCATTTACAAAAAATGAGGTCTGAGGGATTTTGAGTTTTGTTTCTGAACTCTTTATTTATAAGAAAGGTTGATGTGACACCATGTTAAACCAGCCGGATCTCACTAAGAAACATGCTTATTGTAACTATTGTGAGCAAAGTGGTTAATTTGTACACTGTAAAAAAAAAACAATTAGTCATGACAGCATATGTTTTTAATTCATTGTTACTGGCACTTGCAGAGGTGAAGAGGGAGCCTTGGATGGGATGCTGCTCATACTTGTGGGGTTAGTGCTGTCTAAAAACAGCGGATCTGGTGGGCAGTCTGTGCTGTCAGGGAACATTGGGGTTGATATGACGTCTCACCTACAGTCAATAGCTGCGTCCCAAATGGCACACTATACACTATGCACTCATGCACTATGTACTTATGCATTTACACACTTAACAGGATATGTATGTAGTGTCGTCCCAAATGGCACACTAATGTTTTTTTTTACTAAGCGGAAATTCAAACCGTTTCCCTAATGACGTTTGACGGTTGCCAAATCAGCGAAATAAAGAACAGAATTATCAAATAATACCTGCCATGAGTATTGCCGCATTCACCATCGGGAGGCGCTAAAATCACTCTCGTTGGAGAAATTTGCTTTCACCATCCAAAATAAATAAAGTTATCCAACATGTGCGTCCAATAGCTCCGCCCCTTCCGCTACGTATGCAAACCTGCGGTCGTTGAGTGCGTGAAGTGTCCATCATTACACACTTCATTTTAGCGGCTGAATGAGTGCATCATCCGGGTAATTAAAGTGCACTTATGATTTTTAGAGTTTTCAGTGTAAACACACTACTTACACTGTTTATACTACAAAATGGCGTAGAATAGTGCATAAGTATGCGATTTGGGACGCAGCTAATGACTTGGCCCCCGGGTTCCAGCTTTATCTCACTCTGGGTGGTGGGGAGGTGGGCGGCGCTCTTTATCTCCACACATGAACTCCCTCAATCAGCACTGTTGCCGGCTCATGCACCTGGTCAGACGTTCCCATGAGCTCCTCCTCCATGATGTTGATCTGCTCTGTTGGTCTTGATGGTGATGGCTTGGACAACGTGGGTGGCTCTCCGTCTGTGGTTGGCTCTGGCAAGCACTCCATGCTGTTTGGTGATGGCTTGCTTGTGTCTGGGTTTGAAGTGGCACTAACGAGGTCTTTATCTGCACAGACAGCGAACAAGTCTTGGCAGTGTCCACTACACATAGTCTGCAAAATTGTCCTGAGGACCATCTTCAGACGATGGTGCTCTGCAAGCGGTGTTAAGGCTGGTGTGGTAGAATGCACCGAGCACATCGTCCGGATTGTTGGTAGTTGGAGAATGCCCGAAACAGTCTGGTATGGTCCTCAAGCAAGAGGAGAAGAAATTCAGGGTGGGTGGGCGGTGGTCGGGTCCATAGAAACACAAGGAGGATAATGTGCATCAGATCTTCAGTAAACAGAAGAGAAGGAAAGCACCAGGCCCAGACGGTGTTTCACCAGACTGTTTGAGAACCTGTGCTGACCAGCTGGCTCCCATTTTCTCACAGATCTTCAACAGATCACTGGAACAGCGCAAAGTTCCATCCTGCTTTTAGCGCTCCACTATCATACCAATCCAGAAGAAGCCAAAGATCACAGGACTCATTGACTTCAGACCTGTTGTCTTAACATCTGTGGCCATGAAGTCAATCGAAAGACTTGTGCCAGCAAATCTGAAGGACATCACTGGACCCCTGCTGGACCCCCTGGAGTTTGCCTATAGAGCAAACTGGTCTGTGCATGATGCAGTCAACATGGGACTGCATTATACCCTACAACATCTGGACAAACCAGAGAACTACGCAAGGACTCTGTTTGTGGACTTCAGTTCTGCTTTTAACACCATCGTCCCATCACTGCTTGAGTACAAACTGACCCAGTTCTCTGTTCCTAGCTCTGTCTGTCAATGGAACACCAGCTTTCTGACAGATAGACAACAGCTAGTCAGAATGGGCAAAATCACATCCGACAGCCGCACCATCAGCACTGGTGCTCCCCAGGGATGTGTTCTCTCCCCACTACTCTTCTCCCTGTACACCAACGACTGCACTGCAAAAGACCCCTCCACCAAGCTCCTGAAGTTTGCAGATGACACTACTGTTATCCGCCTAATCGGGAACAGTGACGAGTCTGCATACAGACAGGAGGTGGAGCGGCTGGCGTTATGGTGCAGATACTACAACCTGGAGCTGAACACGCTCAAAACAGTGGAGATGATAGTGGACTTTAGGAAAAAAAACCCTGCACTTCCCCCACTCACCATCATGAAGAGCACTGTGGCTGCAGTAGAGTCATTCAGGTTCCTAGGCACCACCATCTTTTAGTATCTGAAGTGGGACATTCACATAGACTCTATTTTGAAGAAAGCCCAGCAGAGACTGTACTTCCTTTGTCAGCCGAGGAAGTTTAACCTGCCACAGGAGCTCATCCAATCCATCCTCTGCACTTCAATCATTGTCTGGTTCAGCTCAGCTGCCAAAACAGACCTCCGTAGACTACAGCGAATAGTCCGGACTGCTGAACGAATCACTGGCATTACCCTTCCTACACTTCAAGAACTGTACTCTTCCAGAGTGAGTAAAAGGGCTCGCAAAATCACTCTGGACGCCTCGCACTCAGCACACTACCTGTTCGAACTTTTACCGTCTGGTCGGCGCTTCAGAGCACCAAGCACAAAAACAGCCAGACACAGGAAAAGTTTCTTTCCTCAGGCCATCTACCTCATGAACAGTTAAATATTCCCCTATTGTGCAATAAACGTGCAATAATTTCTAATTTGTTTAATAATTTTGCACTTGTACACAGCACCTTATATCAATATACAATGCAATACGTTCTACATTCGAATTTGTAAACAGCACCTTATAAGCTGTACATTTATAACAAGTCTTACATACAATTCAACATTCTGATTTTTTTTGACTAACTGCATCTCTGTTTTATGTTTATCATGTTTCTTTGTTCCATATTTATTTTATGTTGTCACTTGTCACTTTATGTAGACTGGAAGCTTCTGTAGCCAAAACAAATTAATTGTGTGTGTGAAGCATACTTGGCAATAAAACTGATTCTGACTTTGATTCTGAGGAGGGGAAGGAAAAATAAACACGGAGGGAATGCACAAATAAATGGTGGGAAAGCAAAACAAAGGAATCACATGATACAAACTAAAGCACATGGAACACTTGACATGGGGAAACAAAGAACCTGACAATAGGTCCTAATGAAAACCCCTTATCAGACTATATGTGACATAAATTACTCTAAACCAAAGATTTTATTTATCAAAAACAATTGACGTGACATTATTTAGTTTAATTTTACTGCTGATTGCAACAACACATAACATTGGTAAATGGTTTAAAAAACATCCGGTGCTGCATACTCCATTACATTGACTCTCTCTTTGACCTGCTGTATTTGTATGAGAGGAATTTGACATTAATTTAGTTACGGCTTCAAACGGCTGACTCGCAGACGATTGCATCATTGTTGACATATTCATCATTGTCTTCTTTTTTTTCTTGACATTTGTCCAAGTAGTATTTTTAAACTATTTCATTCAACAGTGTTTTCAGGTGATATATGGTAAATATCAACACAATGGCCACAATCCAAACGCAGAACAAGAAGTATCGATACCATTTTCCATAAAAGTCCTCTTCCGAATGCTAAAAAGGAGATATTTTTGTTGTTTGTTTTATTAACGGATTCATTGCTTTCACAAAATATCAAAAATTAAACACATTTATTGTAGAAAATAATGTGTGTGTGTGTGTGTGTGTGTGTGATTAAATTTGTAAATTAATTAATACATTTACCATAATTCTCGTCTCCTCCAAATAAACCTACAAAATATAAATGCAAATCTTCTAAACATAATAATGTACACATAAAGTTACATGTAATCGTTAATTTTACTCAGTCATAGAAATGTTTTATGTATTAAAATGTTAACATAATACAGAGTAAATAAATAAATAAATTACCTTAGTTTAAGTAGATTCACAGTGAACAGGATCAGTCAGGTTTTGCCCTGTTTGCTGATATGTACTGTTTAAATTAAAGGCACTTCCTCTGTGGTACATGTGTGTTGTTGTGATAATACGTAGCCTGAACTTTAAATACAATGCACTGAATGGTTATAAATAAATGACAATATCATTAGCAGTCATCAACACTTTTAGCATCAAAAAAGATCATGCATGTGGATGTCAGTCAGAAATATTTGCTTTAAAAACTATACTACAGGGCGGCATGGTGGCTCAGTGGTTAGCACTGTTGCCTCACAGCAAGAGGGTTGCTGGTTTGAGTCCTGGCTGGGTTAGTTGGCATTTCTGTGTGGCGTTTGTATGTTCCGTGTTGGCATGGGTTTGGTGTGAAGTGAATAAGCTAAATTGGCTGTGTTGTATGAGTTTGTGTGTGGGTGTTTCCCAGGACTGGGTTATGGCTGGAAGGGAATCCGCTGTGTAAAACATATGCTAGAATAGTTGGCGGTTCATTCAGCTGTGGCAACCTCTGAAATAGAGACAAAACCAAAGAAAAAAATAATGAACAGATGAAAACTGTACTGCCTCTATAGAGAGTCTCATTGTAAGTGTTTGCTAAATGAACCAGGGGTTAGGGTTGATGTGCTGAAACTCTTAATATGATTTTATGTGATGGAAAAAATAATTACAAGTTAAATGGGCACTGTAGCTTTTTTTTTTTTAAAGTATTTTATTTATCGAAACACTTAGCATCACTTTATCAGGTTGTGCCTGTTATTTCATTTTAAATCCTGATATAAACAAAATACATGGTTAAAAGAAATGAACAAAAACAGATCAACGCAATAATGCCTGTTATTGTTTTAAGCTGCTACAGTTAAGTGAGAGCAATCGGATATTTATCTTTCAATTACTGTTTCAAGTGGACTCCTCACTTGTAGAGCCGCTTGCTCTGTTGTCGACACTGTCCTCTTGTTGGTGTCTGTTCAGGTAATTTTCAATCCTGATACTAAAATTTGTTTTCAAGTGATATATGATGAATATCAGGACGATATCAAAAATCCAGATGCAGAGCAGAATGTAGCGAGACCATTTGGCAACAAAATCTTGAAATCATGCACACACATAAAAACATGACAAAGGTGAATGATACATTTTGTTATAACATGTTTAATAATAATAATAATAATAATAAATTAATAATTAATAACAATAATAATAATTTAAAAAATTAATAAAATGTCAAAGCACAAATACCCTTGATTTGGGAATTTATCAATTAAATGGATTTCTTACCATATATCTCAGCTTCTGTCATATCTTCTCTACTTCACTGAAATAATACATTAACAATCATTTTTTGGTAATTATTTATGTTTGCAAAGTTATTTAAAGGGCTAGTTTATCCAAATGTTAACATTTCTACTCCTCTTTAAGTAGTTCCAGAGTTTCTTTTTTTGTTAAACACTAAAAAAATATATTTTAAAGAAATATAAAAACGTGTAACCATCGACTTCCATAGTAGAAACATAATTACCATGGAGGACAATGGCTACAGGTTTCCAGAAGAAAGCAGAAGAAAGAAACTCATAAATATGTGGAACCACTTGAAGGTGAGTAAATGTTGACAAAATGTTCATTTTTGGGTGAACTAGCCCTTTAAATGTGTTACAAAATAAAAAACAAAAGCGATCTTACCTTTTTTTATGTAATGCAAATAATAGTCAGCACAGCAGCACAGCAAGGTTATTCTGTTAGCAGAGCAACACTGTTGTTTTAAAGACACTTCCACTTTGTTGGAAATTTATGAAACTGTAGAACCGCATAACCCAGAGGAAACACAACAGCATCAAGTCAGCAGTCTGAGAACAAAAGTGGGCAGAGTTTACATACAACCTCAATTCTGAAAAAGTTGGGTTGTTTTTGTAAATTGCAATAATTTAGACAAACAAGAAAGAAAATGTGATTTGTTAATTAACTTTAACAAAAGTAAAAAGAATGTTTGTTTTATTTTCCGACCAATTATAAAGGGGAGAGTGTGGGCGACAGTAATAAAGTGATTTTTTAGAGCACTTACAGCATTTGCTTTCCAAGTTACAACAGCATAACCTGTATGCTAGTGTTTCTCAACCATGTTTCCTGGAGGACCACCAGCTCTGCACATTTTCCATGTCTCCTTAACCAAATACACCTGATTCAGATCATCAGCTCATTAGCAGAGACTGAAAGACCTGTAATGGTTGTGACAGAGAAAGAAGACATCCAAAACATGCGGTGTTGGTGGTCGTCCAGGAACATGGTTGCGAAACACTGCTGTATGCAACCCTTGACAGATATATCACGTGATTTCATCACTGTGGCCTGTGGTTGGGTAAGGTTTTCAGTTTTCAAGCATGGAAAGTAAATAAATGTACTGGACTGGTATTTCTTTTCTTATTACAAGTAGTGTTTATCTTTTCATGTGTCAGAGTCAAGATCAGTCTAAAGGTTATTTAGTGCTATAACAGATCCTTAAGTTTGCGTTGTCTGAGTTTTTCACTTCAAAAGTAAACCGGGTCACAGTTTTCTTGATTGCTAAAACACCCCACACGGAAAGAACCTATATAAACATATATGTTTTAATATAGGCTTTGATATAGGTTTTTAATATATGTGACATATATAAAATTGGCCATTTTTTGATATTATATGTATATATAGCCTATATCAAAACCTATATTAAAACATATGTTTACATAGGTTCTTTCCGTGTGGGCTCTCACTTATTTGCCCTAGCTAAATTCAATAACATGCCAATTACCAACACAATCTCACGGCAATTCGTAACTTTTTGATTTAGTGGCTAATTTGTATGAATTCCTATGATCTATTTCGTACAATTTAGTACGATTTGCTCATCCCCCAAAGACGGTTGGGTTTAGGAGTGGGGTTAGGTGCCACACCTCCTTTTTAAAAATCATACCATTTTGTACGACTGAACTCGTCCGAATTAACCACTAAACTGACAAAACGTAAAATACTTACGTTTAATACATGTAATACATGTATTACTGTACATGTAATACCAATTTCAAGTGTTTGCACATACATACGTTAGCATTTTATTTTTAGTCTTAGTTATTGCCTTGATAATAGAAAATATAAGCTAGGCATCATGTATGACAAGTTTACAAAGTGAAATATGAGCTACATAGGAGACATATCTTGTATGTACATATAGGGCTTAAATGTGGATATAAAGAAGCAATACATGAGACCTATATGGCCTGTATATGCACATATATGCACCTCAATTTTGGCTATATATGGCATATATACACATATATGCAGTGTATATATTGTTACGTCCTGAGACGTATCTTTTGGTGTGCACAATGTGCTTTGTGTTTTTCCTCTCTCTCTCTCTGTGTAACTGCAGGTAACTGTGTCCACTTGGTAGCAATCATTGGATCTTTCCAGTGATTGGCTTTTGGGAGAGGAGAGAGAGTATTTAATCTGAGCTGCACTTCCAACCAATGTTGTTGATGGCTAGATCGTGCAGTAGCTGAGCTCTTCTCCCCATACAGATCTGTTGCTTGTTGAAGCTTTAAAGATTTGATTTGACTTAAATAGCTCCTGTGTGGTGAAGCTATTGGAGTTAGACATCTACTTTCAATGATCTACTTGTTAACATCTAATAATTCACCCCAAAGAAAAGTGAGTCTGGTTGTGTCATGCTCGCCAGCGACCTCTAACCACCAGAGGTGGCTGAAAAACATTATAACTCATACAAACTACAAATCTGACAGTTTATGGACTACAACTTCATACATGCTCTTCGTCCACACACACCTGCTTCCTCATTTAGACTGATTACACTCGCACCACCTGAGCATTGTCAAGGACTGATTACACACACTATTTAAGCAGCACACACACTCATTCACATGCCGAGTCTTGTTAACTGTAATAGTAACACTACAACGCGTTTTCCTTGTTTTGTTTCTCCATGTTTTGACCTTAGCCTAGTTTATCCTTTTGTCCTTGTTTGCTGCCTTCTGACCTCTTGCCTGTTATTTGACTACAATTCTGGACCCTCTCCATATACCTGTTCACACCTGTATTGACCATTGCTTGCCTGACCACTGATAAAACCTGCATTTGGATCCTACTTCCGTTGTTTGTGTCACTCCCCATGGTTACAGGTTGGTTGATTTGTTTGTTTATTTTGAGGGTTGAGTAGGAAGGTGGGTGCCATTTTTGTTTTGGAATTAGTTTTCTCCTGTTTTTGTTTAGTAAAAGGAGTCTATGTTTATGTATTTTCGTTTCTTTTATTTCAGATTAGCAAGAGAATATATTAGGAGTTAGCTTATTTTTGTTTGTTGTTTTGGCCTTGCCCCCTTCTTAATTAATACCCTGTTTTCTTTGTTCTATTTTAATATATGTAAATTTCTCTTTCTTGATTTGATCTTGTGTAAGTTTTTAGTCATTCTGTTTGAGGAGATGAGTTCTATCTCTTATTTTCCAGCTATTGCACATCATCCACCACCAATCCTTTTATTTTCTGTTGCGGTAACATCCCTAGACCCAAAAGATTGTAACAATATCATAAATGTGCATATAGGTTTCATACATGTCCATATATGTATATGTTTATCTTAATATAGGTTCTTTCATGTGGGACAATTTCTGAACCTTGCTTCATTTTCCTAAACCAATTAACACAAAATCTCTGACTTCTCTTGCACAATGAAACTTTTGCCTCAAAACAGTTTTACCTGTGTTTAAAAAGAAGCACTGCTCTCAAATGATACACAAAGTGATTAAAATAATATACAAACTGAAGCAGTCAGTTAACAATACAACACAAAACATAAAAAACCCATTGTTTAAAACATACTGTATAGTTTTCAGTGAGATCCCCATTTTTAATCTCAATGTTCAGTGCCATATAATTTGACCATTATAAAGTATTCAGCCTGCAATGCACTCTACTATAGTATACAATACTAAAAGGGACAAAAATCAAAGGAGCAAACATGTAATCCGTTTACTACATGTCTTTGGGCTGGGTCAGGCCAGAACACTTCGTCCACATCACAAGCAATATTGTCCCTCCTGAAACAGTGGGGGAAGAAGCCTTTTGTGTGCTGTATCCAGCCCTGAAATGATTCCTCACCTATATTAGCGCATGCTAAATCCATGACATGCAGCAGATCTACTCTGGTGTTGGCTTATCGTACACTTTTCATCTCCAAGAGGGAAAAAAAATCAGTTTTAAGAACGGCGAGTACGGAGAGGTACACGTTCATAAACTGCCCATTGCACTCGTCATCTCACATTATTTCTTGTAGCTACACTTAGACACTCTCCATCCCACCTTCAACAACCTGCTTACTCTCTGAACTGACTTATATTGGTTATCACATCATTTGAAAAACGTGACGTCAATTTTGAGTGGTTGTGTTTACAGTTTTTTTCCAATTGTTTACAAATTCTATTCTTGTCATACAGTTTCTGAAACCTCTCACTCAAAATGCAAAACTACACAGACAATCTCCAAACACCAAAAGTTATTTCTCAGCATTGAACTCAGTTTCAATTGCATACACACAGGGTGCACAGCAAAACGCAAATATCTTTACAAATGAAAAAAAATTAAAGGATTCAAATATTACAAAAAATATTATTTTCTAGCCTACATAAATATAAAAAACATCGACTCCATGCCTTCTTCATCTTGGGGGGCTTTTTCAGGTTTTTTATGACAATTTGCTGTTGTATAATATTATAATTAGCAGTATTATTTATTATATGCACATTTATATTTGTTTTGTTAAAAACAAGCTTAGATTTGCCCACCTGTCATGTTTTAGATGGTATGGGGCAGAGCATGCGTATTAGGATATAACTCAGTTATTTAAACAAACTTTGTTATAATTGTTCATTTATTCATTTGCTGGAAATTACAACTGAATTTAGAAATATTTTTGAAACAAATCTTTGCGCTTAACAAGCAAAATTAATTATGTATAGGCTAGTGGATGTCTGTGCATACAACACGTTTCCCTATCCACGAGAGCGAAAGTGAAAGTAAAGAATGAGGAGGCTCATCTCTCATTCTCGCGCTGTAGATGATCTGTTTAACTGTTCTCGCTATAAGCATTTAGTTTTTCCACTTACAAAGTCCGTCATGTAAATAGCAAATGCCCCATGGCGCAATGAAACTGGCTCTTAAAGGGAATGGGAGATGAGACTCTGATTGGTTTATTCTCAAAACACATATATATCTCTTTAAGAGAATAAGTTCAACCCTGTTAGACCATGAGCCATGGCGCAAAGCGTATTTTTTCGTCCTTA